ACACGGACGCATACATACTTCACCTGCAGAAGGGGCGGCAGAGGTGGGCAGGCCAGGCCCGAAGGCACACAGGACGGGGCATGTGAGAAAGGCCGATGGGGAGGCCCTGGCTGCCTCTGGCACCTGCTCCAGCCCCCTCGTCCGGACGCCTGCTGAGTGCAGGAGGGAGCAGCCTTCGAGGAGAGATGGCCTGGCCCCCAGTTTATAGCTGGGCAGACTGAGGCCCGGGGGCGGAGTCACCCCTGAGGTCACAGGGACCAATGGCTAGAACTGGCCTCTGTCCCAGCCCAGAGCTCTTCACTGAGCAGGGTGGCTCCTTCACTATCTCGGGTTCAGAATTACCCTCTCCAGGGCGGGGCCTGTATTCACTTCCTGTGAAACGGTCTGGCAGGCCTTCCCTTGCCCCACCCCACCCCCCATTTTGGGTTTCCCTCTCCCTCCGATCCCTGGCTTTCCAGAGCTCCAGGGGTCTTTCCCTGAGCATGATGGATCCCGCCTGCCGTAAGGAAAAGACCTCCTAAAATGACTCACAAAGGACAAAGGTCAGAATCTGAAATATTAATGACAAAGCTTCAAAACTCACCATTTGCCGCCACCATCCAAACCAAACCGATGACAAAGCACCTTGGATCATGACCCCCACGTCCCTGTGGTCCCTGCGTTCATCCCTGTCATGACAGTGGCCTGTGGCCTCGCCATCCCCACGTTCTCTGTCCCTCCCTGCCAGAGGATTTATTTCCCGCCCCCTCAGCCTCAGGCTGGGTCATGTGACCGGCTGTGGCCAATGGAATGTGAGCACGGGGACAAGAGCCAGCCCTCGGGGAAGCTTTAAGAGTCATTGTGTGCTTTGGCATCACTCCTTTCCCTTGGCTGAGTGAGTTCCACGTTTCCAATAAGACCTGCTTTTGCAGCTGGACCCCAGGATGACACCGCTGCCTTGTAGCGTGAGAAAGAAATGCTGGTTTTGGTGAAACATTGAGATTCAGGGGATGTTTGTCACAAAAGCATAACCCATCAATTGCTGACTGATACATGTAGCATTTTCTTTTTTTTAAAATATATTTTATTGATTTTTTTTTTTTTTTATAGAGAGGAAGGGAGAGGGATAGAGGGCTAGAAACATTGATCAGCTGCCTCCTGCACACCTCCCACTGGGGATGAGCCTGCAACCAATGTATGTGCCCTTGACCAGAATTGAACCTGGGACCTTTCAGTCCGCAGGCTGATGCTCTATCCACTGAGCCAAACCGGTTTTGGCAGCATGTGGCATTTTCCCAGCATTTGCCGTGGGCCAGGCACAGCTCTGAGTACTTCTCAGGTACCCTCTCACTTCCCCCTCACAGCACCCCTCCTAAGACGGCTCCTGCCATCCACCCTGTTTCACAGAGGAGGCTAGGAAAGCTCTGACAGGTCAGGCGTCATGTCCAAGGCGGGAACCAGAAAGGCCGGGGTCTGATCCAAGTCCTCCCTCCTGGAGTGAGACGGATTGTGTCTCCCCATTTTACAGATGGGGAAGCTGAGGCTCTGAGAGGAAAAGCCACTTACCCAGAGTCACACAGCGAGAGCCAGTCCCTCCGTGTCCTGTGACCCACAGCAAGTCTCCCCGTTTGGAGCCCCACGGCTTTCCACTGCGTCCATCTCTCTGCCCGGGGATGTCCCAGCCACGCCAGCATCAGGAGACACCCCGAGAGCTCTCCCTCCTCCTCAGCGTTGGAGCTGCTGTGCCCTCCCGTCGCAGGGAGGGGCCAGAGTGGGCGTGTCTGCCCAGGCGCCTCCCGGATTTGACACTGGTGAATATCCATCCTCCCGCTTCCGAGCACCAGCGGCTGGTTCCCATCAGCACCTGGGCCCCGGTGGTCAGACTCGGGCTTGGGCTCCGTCCAAAGTGTCAGACGCCACTGGGGCTCCTCTCACTTAACGGGCAGCATCGAGGGGCTTGATCTGCCAATTAGGCGCCCGGAGCTGCTAACGGGAAGCAGATGGGCCTCCAGGTTACTGTGTGGACCACCCTGCACGTGCCCCGCCCTTCTCCCCGGGACCACCCTGGACACGCCCCGCCCACGGCAGCGGGTCCAGAGAGGCGAGGCCCCGGGGAGATGCCGGCCCCCCGGGCGAATGGGCCTCGCTGTGGAGTGAGCCCATTGGGACTCCACCCAGTGACCCCTTCAATGGTTATGCTCCTAGCACCTATCCCTTCCTCCCAGCATCCCTCCCTCCTCCCAGTATCCCTTTCCTCCTCCCAGCATCCCTTCCAGGGAATGGATGCTGAAAGGGATGCTGGGAGGAGGGGAGGGACGCTGGGAGGAGGGGAAGGGTGCTGGGAGGAGGGGAGGGACGTTGGCAGGAGGGGAGGGGTGCTGGGAGGAGGGGAGGGGTGCTGGGAAGAGGGGAGGGATGCTGGCAGGAGGGGAGGGGTGCAGGGAGGAGGGGAGGGATGCTGGGAGGAGGGAAAGGGTGCTGGGAGGAGGGGAGGAGTGCTGGGAGGAGGGGATGGATGCTGGGAGGAGGGGAGGGGTGCTGGGATAAAGGAAGGGATGCTGGGAGGCATCCACACGTGGCCACCACGGTACTGCCCATCGGGCAGGTCACTGTGGGGGTAGAGCTACGTGCTGGAAGCACCTGGCGTGCAGGCCCTGCTCCTGAGAGGCAGTCATTCTTCCGTTGTTGCATAGAAAAGGCATCACCACAAAGAGGACTGAGATTTAACTTTGGTGCCAAAGGGGAAAACTGGGTCCATAATAGAAACCCAACAGCGGGGTTTCGACGCCCATCTAAGAAGAGGGTTCTCATCACCGACGTCTCCTCAGCGAGCCTCCACCGCTGGAGGGAACAGGACGGATGGGACCCCGGCTCAGGGCGCCGCTGGGAGGTGTGCGCGGACGCCTCAGAGGCCGTGGGGTCCGAGATCCTCGCTCTGACGGTGGTCCGTGAGCCCATCGGGAAAATGAGGTCATTATTGCTTAAGAAAAGTTAAACTGAGCCATCCGAAGCCAGCGAGAAAGGACAATTAAGAGCTTAAAACTCGCTGATCCTCTGACAATCTGGTCCCGAGGGCGGCGACTGGACACGGGCTCGCCCAGGAACAGAAGGAGCAGAGCGTCCCAGAGCTCAGGGCCGGGCGGGTCTCAGCTGGGCCCCTGGGCTCCAGGGAGGCGGGTGGAGAGAGCAGGGAAGGGTGGGCCCCTGGCCAGACCGTCCTTGAGGTCTTCTCCGCCCAGCCTCCCACCCACCAGGCCAGGCCCACACCCAGGGCCGTGGGAAGGAGGCTGGTTACAGCAGTGAGGGGTGGCCTGCAGTCAGGGTGATCCCAGGGAGGGCCAGCCTGGCTGGTGCCCAGTAGCTGGCAGTGCCACCAGGGGAGGCAAGGTCTGGGCACCTGGACAGTGTCCCCCACGTCTAGCCCCAGCTACGCTCCCAAGCTCAGCTCTGACAGCCTGGCCACCCTGAGCCACGGGCTCCCCTGGCCTCCTTGCACCCCACCTTTGCTCCTGCGGTCCCCACCCCTCCCCCGCCCTCTGACTCCCTGCCTTCCAGACGCTTCCCTGTCCTTCCAGGCTCTTCCCCAATGCCAGCTTCCCCGCAGTCTCCTCAGCCACTGGCTGCACCGGCCGCCGCCCTGGAATCTGAGGCCCCCAGCACCCCAGGGCCTTGGCGGGGAGACTGAGTCCCCACCGTGACTGTGGGCCCCCCACCCACACCTGCATTCCCCATCTGTGAGATAAGGGTCCCAACAGAGCCCAAGGAATCGAGTTTTGTGAGGAATAAGCGGATACAGGAGCAACCTTTGGAGGGAGAGGGATAAGTGTTAGTCAGGTCCTCCTTGGTTGGAGGGACAAATGCTTGGTTTGTGTTTCTGAGTATTTCTCAGCGTCCAGCAGAGGCCGTGGGAGATGAGCGGAGTTAATGATGTGATGGCCGGAGGGGACAGGTGGTAGGGCGAAGGTGACAGGGTCCACTTCAGCCACGTTCACATGCCATGCTCCAGGCTCTGGAAATAGGTTCAGAGAAGAGAAAGAGGGCTGTCCTTGCCATCCTGCAGAAGTGGCTCCCCAAAATTGTCAGGCTGTTCCCCCAAATCCCAGATGATTCCAGCCCTGAGCCCGCTGGCCGCCGCCTTGAAGTGCACCAGAGGACAATCCGGGACGAGGAGGAGCCAGCCCTGCCCGCCCAGCGGCACCGAGCTCCGGGAGTGGCCCCGCAGGGCTGGTGCCGGCCGGCCCATACCCCCCTCCCACCTCCGGGAGGGCTGAGGCCACGGTGTCACGGCATTGCATTCCCCAGGGCCCCGTGCTTCTGCCTGAGTCGGGTGAGCTTCCAGCAGCTGCTCTCCCCCCTGAGAGCGGGGTGCACCAAGCTGGACACTTCACCTCCCTGGGCAGCAGTGTGGCAGCCTCAACACTCGAACCCTGGCTTCCTGATGAGCTGTGAGAGGTAAGTCAGGGCCCCGCCTGCCGCCGGAGCCACCGTTGGCGGTGGTCAGTGAGGCGCGGCCACGCCAGCATGCAGCATCTCCACGTTCCGCAGTGGCCTGGCTCACGCCGGCTCTGGGCCACACGGGGGTGCCCAACACCCTGAGGACAACACCCAGAATCTGCCGGGGTGGGTAAGGACCATGGGCCAGAGCATGTGCCACAGTCATCTGGGTATAAAAAGGAAACACTATGTATTTGGTCCCTGTTGGTTCCGGGTCATGTGGATGTGCAATGGTTGGCCTTGGCCGGCTAGCTGCTCTGTGCACCTTACACACATGTCTCTGGTGAAGAGCTATGGCTCCATCTTAGGGATGGGGAGGTCCCTCTCATCCCACACGTTCTTTCTCGGGGACCCCAGAAATAAGAAGGCAACGCACTCGTTTCACCCACGTGAGGTTTATTCCACTTAGGAAGTGCCCACTGTGCCAGCCATTATTCAGACATAACACATGAGCCTGGGTCCAAGCTCTGGGGGAACCTGGGCGATGAGACACAGACAGGGGGACGGGGGAGGGGGGGCGCGGAGCTAGAGCATGATGCCCGGGCAACATTCCGTGAGCTCACATCCTCCCACACCCTCCCACACCCTCCCACACCAACCCCATCCCCACCATGAGCACTGGCAAAAGCAATGAGCTGGAATTTACAAATGCCCGCTGTGACCACCAGATGGCGCTGTAGGCCGCCAAATCAGACTGGTCCTAGGAGACCAGCCTCAGGTCACCTTGGGTCATTTTCCCAGGGGGTGGCAGTGCCCGGCAAGCTAAACAGCTTGAAGGAAAGGAATGGAGTTTGAGTATATTTTTTGGCGCCCATGACTAGGTGGGTAAAAACCAGGAGGCAGAGAACTTGGAGGAGACGCCAATCAGAGACCAGGACGAGGTGGTCACGGAGAGGGATCGCATGAGCAAGCAAGCCCCTGACCTGCACCTCCCGGCGCCCAGGCCCTCTGGCCCCGTGGGCGGCGCTAGTCCCTGCCCATGGTGTAGCCCTGGATGACGCTGCTGAAGTAGGCTGGCGTGTTGCGCTCGGGGTGGAAGAGGATCAGGTAGCACTTGGGGCCGAAGTAGCCCAGGCTGATGCCCAGGAGGTTGAGCACCGTGACCAGGAGGTCCAGGAAGGTGACCAGCACCCCCTCGTAGACGGACATGAAGGTGCAGAGGGAGACGGAGGAGGTGAAGTAGAAGGTCATGCAGAAGGTGATGAACTTGGCCTCGTTGTAGCTGGTGGGCAGCTCCTTGCCCATGTAGGCGAAGCTGAAGCCGGCCACGGAGAGCAGCAGGTCCAGGCTGGTGTTGACCAGCAGGCCCATGCGGTAGTTGGGGTTGCAGGAGAGGATCATGATCCTGGGGTCCCCGGGGTCGGCGTGGGCGGTGGGGCCGGTGGGCGTGGCTAGCTGATAGGCGGTCACGATGGCCACCTTGAGCGCCGTGAGGGCCGCCACGAAGGCGTAGGGCCCGTGGTAGCGGACCCAGTAGCCGTAGGCGCGCGGGAGGCGGCGGGCCATCTTGAAGACGCAGACGATCTGGAAGGAGCGCACCGCGATGCAGGAGACGCAGACGGTGAAGCAGAGGGTGAAGAAGGTCTGGCGGCAGAGGCACGTGGCCTCCGTGGGCCGCCCCAGGTACGCGGGCACCATCAGGTACGCCAGCAGCAGCGCCGCCAGGACCAGGAAGCACATGGGGCCGCCCGCCGAGCGGACCATGGGCGTCTGGAGGTGCCTCCAGAAGATGGCCAGGGTGGCCAGCGTGCCGAGGAAGCCCAGGGCCGCCAGCAGGACCACGAAGACGGTGGCCGCGCTGTCCCACTGGAGGAAGGTCAGCTGCCGCTGGAAGCAGGAGGTGTCGCGCCGGTGGGACCACTCGTTGCTTGGGCAGGGCTGGCAGTCGAACTCGTCTGCAAGAGCCCCCAGCGATGCCCGTCAGCCGAGCCCACCCTCCCAGTACGTACGGCCTCTGGGCCTGCCCGGCGCCAGGCTCCAGGGATGGAGAGAGGGAGGGAGGGGCGACCCGTGAGGTCCAAGCCAAGACTCACTGAGTCCCTTCTACCCACCGGCTCATCAAATGCTCACAGCAGTTCTGATTGTTTTTGGCTCAGTGGATAGAGCGTCAGCCTGCGGGCTCAAGGGGCCCAGGTTCGGGTCTGGTCAAGGGTATGAACCTTGGTTGTGGGCACATCCCCAGTAGGGGGTGTGCAGGAGACAACTGATCGATGTTTCTCTCTCTTCGATGTTTCTAACTCTCTCTCCGTCTCCCTTCCTCTCTGTAAAAAATAAATAAATAAATTATATATATATATATATATATATATATATATATATTTTTTTTTTTTTTTTTTTTTTTTTTTAATGCTCACAGCAAACCCATTTCACAGGTAAAGGAAACTGAGGCTCAGCCAGGGAAGCTCACAAAGCCAGTACTTGACGGCGGCAGGATCTGGGCCGCAGTGTCCCTTGACTCAGAGCCACATGACTATGATTCCTTCCTTCCAAGACCTCCCTCTCTGGGGGGAGAGGTATTCCACTATTCATTCATAATTCATTCAGTGAATATGTTTTTGAGCACCGCCCACTGTGATAGGCCCCTGAGGCCACAGGGATGGCTAAGCCCCGCCCCCCTGCCGGCAGTCTCTCCACAAGTTGGGAGAGAAAGGCCAGTGAAGTCACTGGACACCCTTCTGTTGGGCAGCGACGCTCCCCTGCACTCCACACAGCAAGTGCTCTGATTGGCAGACAGATGCACCCATTTCGTTTACTAATCAGTGAAGTCATGAAAAAAATAATTTGAGCCCCAGCTCTGAATTGTGCTAAACACTAACATGAGCAGAAAGATGACACTGTCTCCCAGCCCCCTGGAGTTTATGATCTCTAGGGAGAGATGTTAGTTCATTCTTCTAATCAAGAAAATTGCCGGGACCAGTTTGGCTCAATGGATAGAGCGTTGGCTTGGGGATTGAAGGGCCCCGGGTTCGATTCCGGTCAAGGGCATGTACCTTGGTTGCGGGCACATCCCCAGTAGGGGGTGTGCAAGAGGCAGCTGATCAATGACTCTCTCTCACTGATGTTTCTAACTCTCTATCTCTCTCCCTTCCTCTCTGTACAAAAATCAATAATATATATATATATATATATATATATATATATATATATATATATAATATTAAAAAAAAAGAAAGAAAGAAAATCATCATCCAGGACCTATTCACCGAGCAACCATTGTACGCTCTGAACCACACTAGGCACTTAGGAGGCCAGAGATAAATCATATACAGTCCTCAGGTTACATCGGACTCCATGTATGTCATTTTGTGTTTACGTCGCCATCTCCCATTTACAGTATTTATTAAAAAAAAAAAAAAAGTTCCATCATTTTGACGTATGTATATATTTGCTTTATTTTTTTTTAATTATTTATTTGCCACAAGTAAAGGTGAGGAATTGTTATCTTCCTTTTAATTTTTTTTTTTTTTACTGTTTCACTTCATTACTGCTGTGTGTGCTCCATGTGAGTGGAGTGGGTGCTTACGCATGTAGGTGGGTCCTGACTTACAGTGAACATCGCGTTACATCGCACCATAGGAACAGATCTCCGACGTAACCCAAGGACCTACTGTACTGTCCCTGTCTTCCAGAAATGTCTCTTCTATTGGCAGAGCCATCCATCCATCCATCCGTCCATCCGTCCATCCATCCGTCCATCCCCCGGTGGACTCTCCCTGGCCTGACACCCTGGGCCTCGGACTACGTGTGTGAGGATCCAGACCAGTTTCGGCCCCACCTGGTTGGAGCTGTTCCTTCACCCTAAGCCACCTGCGCTGAGGATCTTTCTCTACACCTGGTTTTGGGGAGATACAAGTGGAGTCAAACATGGCCCCTGGCATTTGGACACTTATATTGCCTCCGGGAGACCAGCCAATGGTCGCAGGGCTGGAGACCCCTGGGGCCGGACAAGGCAGGGCAGGGGTGCCACCCCGCAAGCCCTACCTTCAGTTTTGTTGAGGAAGGTGCCAGGGGGGCAGTCGAGACACTCGAAGCAGCAGGGGTGGATGCCCACGGACTTCTTCATTTGCCCAGGTTGGCAGTCCTTGGAGCACGTGGACACGGGCACCTGGAGGGAGGCGGGCACCAGACACTAAACCCTCTTTCCCCTCGCTCTGAGGACCTCCCCACCCTCCGGGGAGGGAAGCCCACAATCTGAGTATGTGCCCTGAGCACCCAAGCTTTTGGTGAATGGATGATGTTCCAACCTACTGAGCCACCTGGCCAGGGCTCCATGTCTGCCCTCTAAGCCCGCAGTCTGTGTAGTGTGTTATGGCAGCCTTAGCAAACAAAGACACCAAACCAATTTACTCCATAAAAATCCCCAAGGAGCTTGGAACCAGCAGCTCTGGAACTGGGGATAGAGAGTGAGGCAGGAGGGGCGTAATGGGGTTTTCCAGTGTAGTTTTGGAGACCTCTGCCTCAAGGCTGGGTCTCCACCCCTCCCCACACCAGCCGAATTCTGACAGCATACTATCTGAGGAGGATTAAAAATGAAGCTTTAGGTTGACAGCTGTTGGACACAGTTAAAGGCACAGCTACCTGTACCAAAACCTGAGTGCTAATTGACGGGATGTCGCCTGAACGCTGTATAGAGGGAACCTCCACCACAGACGTGCTGTGTGGCCTTAGGCAGGTCGTGCAACCTCTCTGTGCCTTCCGTTTCCTAATAAGATAGGAGGGTGGTTGTATCTATTGCCTGGGTTTGACATGAGAACTGGCATCCTTAGCACACATGGGGATATTTACTTTGCAGAGGTCCCGATCCCCAGGTTCCCAAGGAGCCAGAAAGCCCTGAACTTCACTTCTCCATCATTGGTGTAAGGACAGGATCCCCATGCAGGATCCCAGACAGGACAGCCACAAATAGAGATCCCACGAGCTGCGGGACGTGAATCTCGGGTGTCCTCCTTGATTACAAGGGTCCGGCCATCCCAGCATAGTCCCCGCCAGGCCCCTGCGAGCTGACCTTGCCGTCGGGGGTGTGCCAGGAGACTCCGCGGACGTCCCTGAGCTGCCGCTGCACGGGGTAGTAGGAGGCGACGGTCTGGAAGGGGTTCTGGCTCAGGTTCCACTGCCACTGAACGACCTCCAGGGGCAGCGGCAGGTCCCCGTACTCGTCAAAGAAGATGTGGTGGCCCAGGAGGGTGAAGTTGACCTTCTTGATCTCCTGGAGCAGCTGGGGCGGGGGTGGGGGGGTGGGGGGGGGGGGCAGACAAACAGGGAAGTGGAGCTGGCAGCGGAGGTGGGGCCGGACCTGGGAGCAGTCCCATCCCACTTGCTTTGATCTTCCCATCTGTGAAATGGGGCCCCAGGACTTCGTACATGTGGCGTTTGGGAGGCAGTGGCTGAGATTTCTGGCTCTGGATTCGGATACCTCTGGGCTTAGGCCACTTGCTATGAGCCTTTGTCACTTAACCTCTCAGAACCCCAGTTTTTTCCTACAAAATGAGAGCAACAGAAACCCCATCTTCTGGGCTGTGAAGCAATAAATAAGTTAATCTATGTTGGGGGCTTAGAATAGTGCCTGAAAATAGTAAATTTTCCCTCCTATTGAGGATCCGATAATACCTCTTTTCTCTGGAAGTCCCCTTGGCCATCCCTCTGGAACCTAGTACCTGGGGACCAGAGTCCACGCCCGCTCTCTCCTGTAAGAGCTGCTGGAATCCCCTGCCCTCCAGGTCCTGCGTGTCTCCCCAATTTCATCCCATCCCTCTTAGGATGCAGACAAGGCGACAACTTGGGGCTGGGAATTCCTGGGCCTGAATTCCATCCTGGCTCTGTCCTCAGTTTGCTGTGTGACTTTGAGCAAGTCAGTGACCCTCTCTGGTCTGATGCTGAAAGGGCTTCCAACTTAATCTGGCTCCTAGATTATTTTCCTCCATAAATAGGAGAGGCTATTGGGTACAAGTTGGGGGCCCAGAGCTCACCTCACCTTGGGGACTGGCAGGCAGACAGGTAGACAAGGGAGCTGGTCCCTGGCCTTCTCCCCAAAGAGGCTTTCAGGTTCAGGATGCTGCCCTTCCCCTACTTAAGTCCCGCCCCCAACCCCAACCCCACCCCGCATAGCAGCAATCCTGACTTCCAGCTGCACTCAGCAGGGACAGGTCTTACTAGCTGCCCTCGTCCCCTCCTAGGATGGAGGTCTGATCCTCTCACAGGGCCCAGCCAGGGCCTGGCGCATAGTGGGTGCTAAGCAAATGGCACTGGACAGCCTGGTTGCTATGATCGATGCTCTTTGGAATCCACTATTAGGGGAGGAAAGAAGTCGACTGGTCCTTCATCACAGCTACTGCCAGCCGTGGCCGGGAGAACTCCTGGAAGGCAAAGTGGGAAAACCACAGGGGAACAGGCCAGACCTGGGTTCAAAGCCACGGGCTGCCATTTACCACCAAGCAATCACGGGCAAACCACGTGCCCTCCCCATCCCTCTGTGTCCCTCCTTGTAGGTTATCAGCCTCATAGGATGTCCGCGAGGTAAGGTGGGTGTATGCTGGGCACTCAGAACACAGTAAAGCACCCGTGATCATTTGTATGTTATTAATGCAGCAGCGCACATAGTAAAATAGAGTTTTACCAGCTGGCCCCAGAATTCCTTTTAAAGAATAACTGCATTAGCCGAAACCGGTTTGGCTCAGTGGTAGAGCATCGGTCTGCGGACTGAAAGGTCCCAGGTTTGATTCCGGTCAAGGGCATGTTGCGGGCACATCCTCGGTAGGGAGTGTGCAAGAGGCAGCTGGTCGATGTTTCTCTCTCATCAACGGTTCTAGCTCTCTATCCCTCTCTCCTCCTCTCTGTGAAAAATCAATAAAATATATATTTTTTAAAAAAAAGAATAACTGCATTAAACACACACCACTTAGGGCTGCAAGGTAAGACTGTGAGGTTATGGGGTAGAGAGGCGCAAATTAATAGACTAAAGGGGGGATTTTTAAAGAACTAACTAAATTGCTCAGTTAATGAAGTGGCCGGGTATTTGGGGAAGGGTGGGTATCTAGAATAAAGTGATGAAGGGAAAAATAAAGACGGGCCAGAGTCAAGGGTTGAGGGATTGGCTGAGCCCGAAACTGTGAAAACTCCAGGGAATGGGCCCAGCGCAGCGAAGTCTGGTGGCGAAGGAGAGAGTGCACATCTCCGCAGCCAAACCCTCCGGGTTTCCTCAGTAAAGCCTCCCCCGCGGGAGGGCGTGGTAGTGGAGGTGTGTGTGAGTCTTAGAAAACACAGACTTAAACCCTGAATCAAGGTGCCCCAGACCCGGGCAGAGATCCCTAAGCCGGAAGCTGGGCCTGGAGAGCTGATGGGAGCCCACAAGCCCATTCCCCAGGACCCCCCGCCCCCCGACCCTGGAGCAACCACAGGGGCCCTCCACTCCTTGTAGGTTTTGCTTTTCCAGAATTTTACCTGAACCTCCAGAAAGACTGACCATCTTAGATGGTGAGAAGTAAATTAAGGACGAGGGACATTTGCTGAAACCGATTTGGCTCAGTGGATAGAGCGTCAACCAGGGGACTGACGGGTCCCAGGTTCAATTCTGGTCAAGGGCATGTACCTTGGTTGCAGGCACATCCCCAGTAGGGGGTGTGCAAGAGGCAGCTGATCGATGACTCTCACTCATCGATGTTTCTAACTCTCTATCTCTCTCCCTTCCTCTCTGTAAAAAATCAATAAAATATATATTAAAAAAAAAAAAAAAAAAGGAAGAGGGGCATTTGTTTTGGCACCATGTCCCATGGCCTCTCCACCCACTGGCCCAGATGCCATTAGGGATGGAGACCAGCGCAGAAAAGGGGGCGGGGCTTCCCTGCGCTCTCCATGGCAACCAAAGACTCTGCGCCTGCGCAGTGGCCCCGGCCTTCCTCACCCGCCAGGGGTAGACGGTCTCCTTGGAGCAGCGCGTCGGGCTGCAGCCCAGGAGGCCGTGCAGCGCGTGGGCCACGGCGTAGACGGCGGAGTACACGCTGTAGGCCACGCGCTCGCCGGAGAGCGTGAGGGCGGTGCTGAAGGCCTCCAGGGTGTCCCGGCAGGTGTCGCACTCCTGGTTGCAGGTGGCCCTCCGCCTGGTCCGGCCGGTCCCGCTGGATCGCGGCGGCGGCGGCCTCCCCCCGGCCTGAGCCCGGCGCACGCGGAACTCGCTGAAGCCCGGGATGGACACGCTCTGCGTCGTGATGCCCAGGAAGGTGCCCGTGCGGCCCAGCTCGGTGAGGTTGTGCAGGGCCAGGTCGATGGCCCAGGACTCAGAAGCGAGCCACACGATGCCGGTGAGGCCACTGCGCAGCGCCTCCAGGAAGAAGTTGTGCAGCGCCAGGTCCGGCGAGAACACCACCACCACGCGCGCCGAGCTGTGGCGCAGCTTGTCCACCACGGCGCCCAGGCGCCGGCGCTCCTGCGGCGTCACGGCCAGGCCGGGCTGCGGCGTGGGCAGCGCCTCGTGCAGCGCCACGCAGATGCCGTGGCGCGCCAGGCGCTCGCCCAGCAGCTGGCCGTTGCGGCGGCCGTAGTCGTCGCCGCTCACCAGCACCACCACCCAGTTCCAGCGGAAGCGGAGCATCAGCTGCACCATGGCCTCCACGTGGTGGTCGGCGCCGGGCATGGTGCGCAGCACGGCCGGGAAGCGCTGCTTGTCTCGCAGGTCGTCGCCAATGGCGCTGTAGGTGATCTGCCCGAGGGGAGGGAGGGAGAAGGACGTTTCTGCAGTCCGCCTCCACCCACCTCCACCCTGGACTTGTCCCATTTCCCTTACCCTGTTGGTCTTTTCCTTTTTCCTTTTTTAAAAAAAATATGTTTTATTGATTTTTCACAGAGAGGAAGAGAGGGATAGAGGGTTAGAAACATCAATGAGAGAGAAACATCGATCAGCTGCCTCCTGCACATTCCTCACTGGGGACATGCCCACAACCAAGGTACATGCCCTTGACCAGAATTGAACCTGGGACCTTTCAGTCCGCAGGCTGACACTCTATCCACTGAGCCAAACCGGTTTCGGCTGGTCTTTTCCTTTTATCCACTGCCCTCCTCAGTCTCTAACATCCTAACTAAACCACTTTTTAACCTGTCTCTCCCCTCTAGAAGATAAGCTCTAAGTTCCCTTCTGTATCCTCGGAGCCTGCAACAGTGCCTGGCATAGTAGCTGCTCAGTAAGTGTTTGTTAAATGAATGAAAGAATGAGTTCAGTCCGGGAGTAGATGTTTCACATAAGAATATGAACATTTGCCCTAGCCGGTTTGGCTCAATGGATGGAGCCGGCCTGGGAACTGAAAGGTCACAGGTTTGATTCTGGTCAAGGGCACAGGCCTGGGTTGTGGGGCTCCATCCCCAGTGAGGGACATGGCAGGAGGCAGCCAATCCATGATTCTCTCTCATCGTGGATGTTTCTATCTCTCTCTCCCTCTCCCTTCCTCTCTGGAATCAATAAAAATATATTTTTAAAAAAGAATATGAACATTTATTGAGCACCTACTATGTGTCAGACCCTGCGCTAGATGCTTTACATAATAATAATAATAATTAAAAACAAAAAACAAAAAACAGAAAAAGCCCTTGCAGGGTGGCTCGGTTACAGTGTTGATTTGATACACCAAGGTTGTGGGTTTGATCTAGGGTCAGGGCACATACAAGAAACAACCAACGAATGCATTAATAAGTGGAACAAATTGATGTTTCTTTCTCTCTCGCCCTTCCTCTCTCTATATAAAACAGCAAAATTTACAGAATTTGTGACCACCTACTGTGTGCCAAGTACTGTTTAATGAATAGATATTTTATGCCAGTTCTGGACTAGGCATGTCCACCCTGGTGATGATGATAACAGTAATACCAATAGCACTTTCTTGAGGACCTGCTCTGCAGCAGGCTCTGTGCTAGGCAACTACGCAGGACAATATTGAGCATTTTCTGAGTTTCCATTCTTGTGCAAGATGCTCAACATCAGCAGTCACCAACCTCTCGGACCTCGCATACCACCAGTGGTCTGATACACCATCTCACTTTGCAGCTAGGGAAACTGAGGCTCAAAAGGCCTAAGAGACTGGATCCATGGGCATGACTCAAAGCCGAGACACACACCCAGGAGTCTGCCCCCAAAGCCTGAGCTCTCAACCTAGAAGTCAGGCCTCTTGCCCAGGATTGGGGTTGGCGTCCTGCTTCTGCTCTGCCCACCCGCTTTCCCCCTGCGCCTGGTGCGGGGCAGTGAGCCCCCTGGACAGCCGCCCCTCCGTCCGCTGCCAGCCCCTCTCCCGGGGCCCCAGGCCTCACCTGAGGGAGGAGGAAGAGGGAGAGGACGTGGGCCACGGTCATGGTAGCCTCGGAGTTCTCAGGGCCGATGACGGCCACGACGCGGGGCACGTAGCGGCTGTAGTCCTCCTGGACCGGCAGGAGGTAGTCCTCCTGCGCCAGGAAGTAGAGCACGGGCTGGACGTTGTTGGAGACGTAGCAGGTGTCCACCATCTCGTAGCCCAGCCGCACGCCGGGCAGCAGGCTGCTGTGGTTGTTGATCTGCTCCACCGCGAAGTGCATGGCCTGCATGAGCTTGTAGCCCAGCGCCTTCACTTCGTACCTGCAGGGCCGCGGCGGGGGCGGCGGGTCCGGAATGAGAGGGGTGGGCAGGGGAGCCCACCAGCCGGTCCTACATGCTGAAGGAGAGCCAGGCAGGCCTTGCCCAAGAAAGAGACACTCCAGAAGGTTCCGGCACTTTTACCACCTCATTGTCTCGGTACCGCATCTCTAGGATCGTCATCCCTGTGATCACCTCTGACACTAGGTCTCTGTAGCCACTGTCACTGCCATTGCCACCCCTACCACCATCGCTCTGGACTCTCAATGTCTGCCAGTGTGGCCACCATTACCCACTGTCACCTCCATCATCACTGTCACCACTGTCACCATCATCACATACTATTCCTGTTACCAATATCATTGCCACTGCCACCACATGTTTGTGATCACCATTCCTAATACTATCATCACCACCACTATCATCATTGTCACCATCACCACCATCAAAATGCCACCATCATCATCATCATCATCATCATCACCATCTTCAACATCATCACTGTCACCATCACCACTATCATCTCTACCACCATTCTCACCACCACCATCATCACCACCACCAACACCATTAACATCATCATTATCACCATCACCAGTATTACTACCACCAACACCATTGGCATCATCACTATCACCACTATCGTCCCTACCACCGATCACCATCTGGCCTCCCAAGGACCAGCCCCAGTTCCCACCCACCCTCACCACCATGGCCAGCCTCCCACCAGAGACTCACTCCTTGCACTTGGGCACCTGCAGGAAGTTGAGGTGGACGATGCCCTTCATGTTGGCATGGAGGGTGAAGAGGCCACCCAAGAGGTAATCCCCCTCCAGGCTGAAATCCGAGTTCTCAGCGGGCGCAGCCAGTGCCTGGAGCAGAAAGAACAGGGAGCACACCACACCGGCCCAAGGCCCCATGGCCGGGAAGTGGGGTCCCCAGAGGTCACTCTGCTCACCGGAGAGCTGGCCGCTTGACTCCACGGGATTTGCACAGACATTTACATAGTGACGGTCCTGCCACTGTCCGGGGTGGGGAAGCACCGGGGACAGGTGGAGAGGTCAGAGGGCTCGGGGGAGGGGGAGGAGGCTGGAATGCGGAGGACCCCTCTTAGGGACCTCGGGGCCTGGGGGGTCAAAAGAACCCCCTTTGGAGGCAAAGGCAGCATGTCCTGCCAGCTGGGCCCTGGCCTTCTGCCTCGTGGCTGAGGACAGTGGCATCCCCTGAGGTTCAAACATCTGGCAGTGAAGGACACACAGTAGGTTGGCAGATCAGCCAGCACACACAGTAGGTTGGCAGTTGGAGCCCTACCTCAGAGCCTGACCAAGGGGGGCTGGCCTGTGATAATTAAATGGCTTCTGGCCTATGGCAGGTATCCCCAAAGCTGTAGGCATTGTCAATAAGAACCAGGGGCCGTGACCTTGAGTGCTTGTCATTCTCCATCTCTCTCTTCTCTCTCTTTCTCCAATTGATTTCAGAGAGGAAGGGAGAGACAGAGGGAGAGAGAAACATCAGTGATGAGAGAGAATCATTGGACAGCTGCCTCTTGCACGCCCCACACTGGGGATCGAGCCTATAACCAGGGCATGTACCCTGACCTGGAATCAATCGAACCGTGACCTTCCGGTTCATAGGTCGATGCTAAACCATTGAGCCACACCGGCCAGGCAGTCTCCATCTCTCTTAATGCTCACAAAAACTGGAAGTGTTACTAACCCTGGTTCACAGATGAGGAAACTGAGGCACGGGGAGGTTAAGAAACTCCCCCCTGGGTTGGACAAACCACAGAGCTGAGATTCAAATCACATGTCGTTTCCCCTCAACCCCATCAAGTGTAAAACCAGTCAGGACAGCTGTGTGATGCCCCAGGCTGTGCCAGCCCGAGGGAGATAAGGAGTGGGGGAAGGGGGGTGGAGGGGAGGAGGGCCTGTGCCACAGCATGGGGGGGGGGGGCGGTGACCATGAGCACAGGTCATTTCTATTGTGACCATGACCCGAAGGCTCACTGCTGAGCACTCCCCACGCTCCGTCATCCCATTTTATCCCCACTGCTTCGTCTGTGTCCCCATTGAGCAGATGAGGAGACTGAGGTTCAGAGAGGGACAGGAACTTATTCAAAGCCAAAGCAGGTTTGTGGACTGAAGGAATTCAAGACTGAATCAGGGGCTGATGGGAGTGGTGGCAACCAAGCAGCTCCGATGATGAAGGCACACGGGGGTCCCGGACAGGGAGAGCTTTTTAGTGTGGGTGTCAGCATGGACGGAGGACCCCTCTGAGGCCCAAAATCTGAAGGAGCAACAGACAGAGGGCAGGCGTCTCAGCTTCCAGTCCAGCTCCGTGGCAATCAATGCCCTTGGGCAGGCAGGCCCCTCCCTCCTGTAAAATGGACTCACATGTAGGGCAGGGATCCTTTGGAGATTCTGATGAAAGCTCTGGATGCTAATGTAACACCTGGGAAATGCAGCTGAGCGTCCGAATCCAGGGCACCGCCAGGCTTGGGCTTGTCCGCAGACCCCGTGCTGAGATGCCCTGGGCTGTGGGCGAGAGCCTCTACGGTCCTCTGGCCTTGACATCATCTCAGAGGCAACTGGATGAGGCTGAGTCACTGGCCGGCCTGAGGGCAGGTGCCTGGGACACTGTCACCATGACTCTCCTTCAGGGCCGCACACACAGCACATGCCCTGGTGGCCCGGTCCAGGGCCTGGGGTCCCCATGCTCACACCTGTGTGGCCACTGGTTGCCAAGGTGACAGAGCCATGACAAACGTATGCTAAGTACGTGGGGTGGGGGCCACTGCGGAAATAGGGGGCCCTGGAGAAGCTGCCCATTGCCTTTTGAGGAACCCCCAAGAGGGGCCTGACCCCCGGGCCTTGGGGGCTGCATGCTCCCTCATCCAGGACAAAGCCAGGCAGCCAGTTTAGGGTGTGGTAGGGAAGACCTCCCCAAAGAAAGTCTGGGAGATGGGCCCCCTCGGCCAGCTGACTTGGTTCAGACACTTCGGAGGAGAGTTAGGGCCACTTCTCAGGGGGCCCAGTCTGTGAGAGGATAGAGGTTGGGGATCTAAGGGTCAGCTGAGGCCTGCAGGAGAAACTCCACTTGAACCCAGAGACCCACTTATGCCTCCTCACCACGCTTGGCTGGGTGACCTCCAGCAGGCTGTGTCTCAACCAGAAAAGGATCTGGAGGTTCCAAAGGGACCACAAGCTCAAGAAGAGCCAAAGGGAAGGGAAGCCACCTGCGTGGAGCCTCTGCGATGCTTTCAAACATCATTACGTCTGCTCAGCACAGCTGTGGGAAGGATTTTGTCCCCATTGTACAGATGAGGACACCAAGGCTCAGGAGCCTAATGTCGTCTATGGAAGGCCTAATGGAGGACAGAGGTGGACCGACCAGCTCAAGGTCATCCTGCTAGTTAGTAGGAGGGCCGGGGGTGAACCCTGGTCTGTGAACTTCACAGCTCATGCTCCTTATACCTGCTGCACCAGGTCCCCGGCTTCCAGCCGCTCCTCTACCACTGCCATGTCAGCCTGCCCTCCCCACCTGGCACCTTCGTCTTCATTTAGCTAGGGCAGGCGGTGGCTCCGAGCCACGGCTCGCTCCATTTCCTCTGCCTTCCGTCCTCCCCCAGACCAGGGGGCTGGTGGCTCCTGAGAGCCCGGTACCCGACCAGGTGCCCAAGGCCTCTTTGCATGGTCACCTTTGCAGTAAGTCCCCGTGTCCGTGCGGGCCCAGGAGTCTCTTCATTTCCCTCTGTGACCGGGCCCAGCTGCAGGCCCGGGCGTGGAGCGTGAACCATTTGACTGAGGCCGGACGTTCGCGCCATCGCTGTTCCAGAGACGGCCGGTCAGGCATGAACTCTAAGGAAATGAAGGTCACCTGTGCCGGCTCCTGGCCGACAGGCTGACTCGGAGCTCCCGGGGGTCCATGGGAAGCACTAGGGTGCAGGCCCACCCTCTTCGCTGAGGCACGCCATTTCCATTCATTCCCCACCACCCGTCCATCCGGTTCCTGTGTGGTCTGTCTGGAGGCCAGTGTAGGAAATAGATCCACCAGTCCCTGAGCGCAGCCTAGGGGCCCGGGACAGTGCCCAAGGCTTTATTTTTGCCTTAAGCCCTATCCATTGCTTCCGTGCACCGAGATTAGCACACCTTTTGTTGTTATTAATCCTTACCCAAGGATATTTTTCCATTGATTTTTTTTTAAAAAGAGTGGGAGTGGGAGAGGGAAAAACAGAGAGAAACATCAATGTGCAAAAGACACATTCATTGGTTACCTCCCACATGTGCCCCAACCAGGGCCAGGCATTGAGCCTGCAATGAAGGTACATGCCATTGACTGGATTTGAACCTGTGACCCTTCAGTCCACAGGCCAATGCTCTAGCCACTGAGCAAACCAGCCAGGGCATTGAGCTCAAGGCTTTAGACGTCACATCCTCAGATACTCATGGTAGCCATAAAGGTACATTCTATGGCTCCCATTTCACAGTTGAGGAGACTGAGGCACAGATGATTGACTGAAGTAACTATCACACCCCGATGTGCTTTACCTAGTAAGGCCAATGTCAAGGCTCCATAAAACTAGGTAGCTAATGTACTTACTAGTAGCCAGTGGTCAGCCAACTCTGCTGTCTCAGTGTGACCGTGAGCAAGTCACTCCATTCATGCAAAAACATTAGTAAGGACTATCAAGTTCAGCTGCCATCCTTAACTTCCATAAGCTCTAGCCTGGGCACTGGGTGCTACCCTTTGTCCGGGTCAAGCCCCCTCTTGCACGAATCAGGGGTAGCCCCTGGGTGAGCAGGGTGGGGGCTCCGCCAAGGGTAGTCTCCATCGCCTCCCAGAGCTCTGAGATCCTCCATGCCACCCGCCCAGATTGCTGGACCTGGGACAGGGGAGTCAGTGTGGCTCAGGAGCAGCCCCTATGCATTCTCTGTGGGTGGGGACAGGCCAGGACACATGTGTCCCCCTCCAAGTCAGCTAGCCCAGGTGGGCTTGGACCCAGAAACTGGGCTCAAGCTAAGTGGCCACAGTCACTCTCCTCATGGCATTTGGCAGCTGAGCGGGTCTTTGCAAGGCCAACGGCACCATTGTGGACATCTGGCTTCTGGAACTGGACCGGCCTGCTCCAGTGATGCCCCGCCCAGGGCAATCCCCTCACCTTCCTGCACTGTCCTGTCTGCAGAACGCGCATGGCAGCACCTGCTTCCTCAGGCGCTTGGGAGAAACAAAGACCCCGGCACGTTCTTCTCGGGTTCTCCAGATAAACAGGACCGAACGGAGGCACAGAGAGGCACCGGTTTATTGTAAGGAACTGGCTCACAGATTGTGGGGTCAGGAAATCCAAATCCTGCCAGCAGGCTGGCAGCCCGGAGACCAGGAGTTGTGATTGAGTCCACAGGCAGTCTCCTGGCAGAATTCCTTCTTGTTCAAGGCAGCTCGGTCTTTTTTCTGTTAAGGCCTTCAACTGATTGGATGAGGCCCACCCCCATGATGAAGGGTAATCTGCTTTACTCAGTCCACTGAACACCTTCACAGAAACATCTAGAATGACATTTAACTAAAATATCCAGGCATGTAAACGCATCACAGCACATAACAGTGGTTGTTACAACAATGGGTAAATGGGTAACATTGGCGAATCATGAATTCTGTGTCCGGCATTGTTCTAAACACTTACATTGGTAACTCATTTAATTCTCATGACCACCTCTGTGTGGGTATACATTTATTATTTTTCCCGTTTTACAGATGAAGAGACAGAAGGTCAGAGAGGTGGCACAGCTTTTTGGAGCTGGGATTTGAACCCAGCCCATCTGGCTCCAGAGCTTCCACCACCGCAGCAGGTTTTCCCATACATCAGTGCCTGCCCTTCCTTCCACCACAGAGGGAACTGCGCTCCTGACACCTAATGACACACTGGCAATGCCATCAGACTTAGAAGCTGTCCCTCCACCCCCACCCCCACCCCCACCCCCACCCCCACCGGAAAGACTGATTTGATGAAGTAACAGGTGTTTTATTGGGTGATGTCAGGTCAAGTCCCATGGCCCCTCACAGTGTAGAGTCAGCAAAACCAGGAACATTTCCACCCCACCCACCAGCCTCCTGACCTGGTGCCTTGTGGGAAACAGTGTAGAACCCACACCCTGGCAGGCGGCATCAGCACTCGCCCCGGACCGCTCGCCCTGGGTGAGGTCATGGCTCTTGGGCAATGGGCGCCCTGCCCTGTGGGGAGCCCTGACAGCTGTCCTGAGGAGGGCCCAGCACTTTTCGGCTCCATTAAAACTGCTCTCCCAAGTCACCCCTTACACATCCCTGGCCGCTCAGAACCCAACCTGGCTGAGTCCACAATGGGCTGCAGCACACAAAGAACAGGCCCCCCGAGGGCCGGTCTACGCCAAGCCACTCGCATGCAAAGAAGATTCTATGGGCAATTCCAGGTCCTGGCAGGGCGGGGACCCAGGGCAGGGGGGATGGGATAGTGGGAGCAACAGCTACCTGGGCCTGTGCGTCCACAGCCTGTGGGAACAAGCTCCTGCAGGGAAACCAGCCCCATGCAGCTGAGGGCGGCCGTCCTGGAGGCGGGGCCCATCCAGTTTCCGAATCCCAGCCCCAACAGGAAGGCCCAGCCTGCCCCACATCTTGGCAGGCGGCCTCCCGCGGCCCCCAGCCTCACCACATGGAGACAGCAGGAGTCACATGGGCGTGCAGGAGCCCTGGAGAAAGGCACACGGGCAGCTAAGGCTTAAGGTCAGGCACAGGCACCCACTGGCTCGTGTGGCTGGGCAAAGAGCTAGTGTGAAAGGAGGATGACCCAGACTGAGAGGGCAAGGTCAGCTAGTGCCCTGGCACCCTGCAGACCACCCTGGTACACCCACTCCTGCAGCCCTGGAGAGGCCAGGGCCAAGGCCAGGAGCCCCTGGGGGTAATGAGGTTGCCAAAAGGCCCAGAGCCGCCTCCTTTCCCACAAGGGGTCGGGAGCTGCCCCGCTGTCATTCCCCAAGTCCCTAAACCGGGGGTGGGGAACCTTTTCTCTGCCCAGGGCCATGTGGATATTTATAACATCATTCGTGGGCCACACAAAATTATCAACTTAATAACTAGCCTGCTATCACTGGTCAAATATTTAATTAACTCCCTTCTAATGCCTTGGCAGGGCCAGACCAAATGATTTTGTGGGCCTTATGTGGCCCTCAGGCCAGACGTTCCCCAGCCCAGCTAAACCACTGGGCCACAGAGCAGAAGAAAGAGAAAAGATGGCGAGCCAGCCGGCACCAAGGTCAGCCTCTGAGAGGTCCTTCCTAGGAGGGCCGATGGGATAAGCAGCAATTCTCCTGTCCCTTCCCAGCAGGATCAAACCAGGGCTGGGCGCCTGACCCCGAGATGTGGGACAGGCCAGGAAACGGGCCAGTGGGGGGCTGGGTGGGCCAGCGCACCGAGGTCAGTTGCCCGGACGGACAGACAGGCCGACGGCAGAGGCGCCGAGCGGGCTCACTGCATGTACGAGTAGCGCCAGTCCCCCAGAGGCTTGTGGGTCTCCTTGATGACCTGGGGCGACGTCCACCGCAGGATATAGTGGGGGCCCCCGGGCTTGTCATTGGTTCCTGTGGGAAAGAGACACAACAGCGCTGGGCAGGAGGGCAAGGCGTGGGAAGGAGCTGACGGGATGAATGGGCACTGGCACTTAAACTCAAACAGAATGTGCTCACAGGGCCAGTTCCCTAAGCGCACCAGTGAGGAGCACCCTTAGCGGGAGGCTGGGTGGGGCCAGAACTGTGAGTTAGACACTCCGGGGGTCCATGTGCCCCACCTGCCCGGGGTGCCTCGGAGGCAGTGGAGGGGCAGGGGGGAACTGTGGAGAGCACCAGCTCTGCCACTAGGCAGCTGGGATCTTAGCAAGTCACCAGCCCAATCTGAGCCTCAGTTTCCCCACTTCTAAGTAGGAGGGAGTTGGACCAAAGTGACCTGGACCATGGTGGTACAGGCTGCGGGAGCTGGGTCCAATGCCAGCTCCACTACTTCCTGGCCATGTGCCCTTGAGCGAGTCACTTCACCACCCGTGCCTCAGTTTCCTCCTCTGTAAAATGGGGAGAATTTAGCACCCTGGCTCACGAGGTTGCTGAAAGGTCTCGGGGTGAGTACAGTGCTGTTCTTATTACTCTTAACAGCCTTGAATGAAGGCTCTCAAGTCTCCCATAGAAACATGGCTCCCCTCTGGAAACGGGACCCACTCACCGGAGGCTCTGGCTCCCCCAAAGGGCTGCTGGCCCACCACCGAGCCAGTGGACTTGTCGTTGATGTAGAAGTTGCCGGCAGCGTTCCTCAGCATCTCAGTGGCCTCCCGGACAATGTTCCTACAAGGCAGGGCAGCCGGTTCACCCACCGCTCCAGCCCAGGTCCAGCCTCCACCCCCAGCCCAGGCTGGTTATCCAGGAGAGCACTAGGCCCAGCCTGGGGCAGTGCTGGGCCAGCCGCCAGCTGTGGGCCCTTGGGCACGTGACTCAGGGTCTGAGCCTCAGCTTCCCCTCTGAAAAGGGGGTTTCACGGCCCTGAGTGGCTCCTGCAAGGACTGAGCACACACTCAAGGGAGTGGCCCATCCTGGACCTCGGGAACTGGGGAACCCCCAAGCCCCTAGCCTGCCCCTCAGGTTCCACTCCCACCTCCATCCCCTCCCTCTAGAGCACATGTGTCAAACACAAGGCCCGCGGGCCAAATCCGTCCCGCCAGGCCTTGCAATGTGGCCCGCACCACGCTGTCATCACTGCACTCCGCTGCGTTTCCATCACAATGACAGTTTATGACTGTTCAGTAAACCATTCGACCCGCGATTTAGGCTGGATTTTAGATTTTGGCCCCTTCTCTGATTGAGTTCGACACCCCTACTCTAGAGGCAGGCAAGGGGAGCCATGGAGGTGGGGAAAAGCAAAGCCTCAGGATGAATACCATGGCACCGGTTCAAATCCTGCCTCTGAAGGATGAGCAGTGCACCCTGGCCTGAGCGCGTGTCCCTCTGCAGCTGAGACGATGACCTCAAGTAGCGGGGCCCCTCAGAGTCGGGGAGCTGGGCAAAAGCTCCCATTCCCAGGCCCATCCTAGATCCAAATTCGATATGGGGCCCAGGACCGGAACTGTAACAAAGACCCGGCTGCCTCTGGGTCCCTGCGCTTGGGAGGCCTGCCTGCCAGCCAGGGCTGAGGTGAGGGGAGTGGACAGGAAGCAAGGGGCGGCATTATTACTACGACCCATGTCCAGGAGGGCAGTGTCCAGGGTGTGGGCAGGACACCAGACTGAGAGCAGAGGGGCTGTGGCCACTCACTTATCCTGGGCAAACACTGCCCCTGTGAGGCCATAGCTGGTAGTGCTGTCCACCAGCTGCAGTGTCTCCCTGTACTTGTCATCTGGGTAGACATACACGGTCAGCACGGGCCCGAAGATCTCCTGGGAGAGAAGGGAGAGAAGTCCAAGGTCAGTGTCAGCCTGGACCAGTGCCCTGAGGCTTCCCAGCCTGCTTTGGCCTCTGCCTCTCTTCCCAGTCTCGGTCCCCAGGCCCCAGTCCACACCTCAGCCCCTGCAAGAAGGGCCAGGCCTCGCAATATCCCTCTTGATTCCTTCCAAGACAGAACCGTGCCCAGATCCTGCCCTGTCACCCATCCCACCGTGGCAAAAGGTCCAAGGACACTTCTGGGCCCCTGCCAGCCAAACCCACACCCACAGGGGCACGGGCCCAAGCCATGGAAACGGTAGGCTTCTGGAAACAGCAGGTCCAGGAACTGCCCAACAATATACTGTCCCTGCTGCCACCGGGTGTCTTGATCTCTCGGGGCCTCAGTTTCTCATCTGTAAAATGGGACTGATAATACAGCCCTCACTTCAATCAAGAGCCAATGTCAGATGGGAAGATTGATGTGGGACGTGGGCAATGGGAGTGCTACAACAATGGCCAGGCTGTCAGGCCAGCTCTGGGTTTGGGTCAGGAGGCCTGAGCTCAAGGCCTGGCTCTGCTCTCACTGGGTGTGATATTCGCTGTCTAGGGCCTTCTTTCCTCCTGTAATTGGGTTACGCCCCGAGAAGACCATGGACGAGGGCCGATGTGTGTGCTGTGCTGAGTGGGAGGCTGTCCTCTGGTGCTCCCAGCCACCCGGCCCAGTCACCTCCTTCATGATGGCCTCCTGAGGGTCCTTGCTCTCCACAATGCAGGGCTCCACGAAGTAGCCCACAGAGTCGTCACACTTGCCGCCCGCCAGGACGGTGAGGCTGGGCGAGGAGCGGGCGTGCTCCAGCCACTTCTTGATGCGACCAAAGGACTGCAGGGGGCAGGGAGGAAGGGTGTCAGAGACCGGCTAGGGGACCATTCCCAGCAGCAGCCCTGCAATACACTCACCCCATACACCTGTTCCAGAAGGACCTGAATTCTGAAAGGGGGAGGGGAGGGCCCTGAGTATCTGGATGAGCCATGGCGGAGACAAGGGCAGACATGAATGCTTGTGTGTGTTAGAACTACAGGTATATATTCACATATAAATATAACCAAACACACATGGCACACATGGCATACATGTATTCAGGCATATGAATGACCATGTTGCTTTGTTAAAGCACATAAATATACACAATGGGCAGTAGTAGGTTTACAATTATGAGTACATGAATCACAGTTTATTCTTGTATTATCGATTAATTATTGTATTACTTACGTTACAACTATAAACCTACTTTTGCCCACCCTTATATGTATGCCTGTAACATGCACATGTTTATCCATGAAGACCTACACATGTGCCTCTAAACACAAAGATATTCTTTGCACTTTAACAAAGAGCCGGGCTGCCTTTGAATATGAATATCTTTGCATGCACACACATGGGTGGATTTGTTCATGTATGGAGATATGCATGTATGAATGTGTATGCATTTCTGTGGAAAGCAGACATGCATGCCTACACATGAACGTGTTCATGCGTGCACACTTAGGTTTATGCACACAGGTGTGCAGGCCTAATTGCATCTCTGTGTATGAACATGCACTTAAAGGGGCTTTGAGCTTGGCTGCAGGGTGTGCAGGAGGCGAGTTCTCTGGTTGGAGGATTCTGCCCTTCACCAAGCTGGAGGCAGGGTGGCAATCTGGCTGCCTTCCCGGAAGCAGTGGGGTGGGGCTGTCCCCCATTTAGGCCCTTATCTCTCTTCCTCCCTCTTCCACCCAGCCCAGGCTCAGCCCCCCTGGAGCAACTGGATTCCAGCCCGTACCTTGGCATCGATCACTGCGGAGAAGAAGGTCCCGAAATCTTCTGCAGGCTGCAGGCAGGGGAGACACCACAGGAGACTCAGCTGCCACAGGCCCCGACAAAGGCAGGCCCCTCCCGCCCACCCAGCCCACCCGCGGGACCTCCCATCCCATCAGCCCCCCGCTGGGCCGAGGCAGGGACGGAGGCAGCACTCACGTCGCCCACTTTGATCCTGCTGTGCTCCTCCAGCAGCCGCTTTTTGATCTGAGGCCACAGCGAGTGCGGCACGTAGAGGCGGGAGCAGGCCGAGCACTTCTGGCCGCTGTACTCGAAGGCCGAGCGCAGGGTCCCGCTCACCACGCTGTCCACGTCCGCCGAGCGGTGCACGAAGTGGAAGTTCTTCCCTCCGCACTCTGCAGGGGCCAGGGCGGGGAACGAATGAAGGGGCGGGCTCCTCCGGCCAGCTCAGGGCCCACCACCCTGCCTACACCTGTCCACGGGGCCCTGTGATCAGCCCCTCACACCAGGATGAGAGCAGGAGAGGCACAGAGTGAGAGCGGGACAGCCTCCCAGACACCGATGAGCCAGGCCTACCTTCCCACTCTACGGATGAAAAAACTGACGCCCAAGGGTGAAGGGCATCAGGGGTCATCAGGACCAACTCCCCCATTATACAGATGAAGTAACTGAGGCCAGGGCCAGGGTGCTGCCCAATACAATGATAGCAGGATCCTAGGCCCCACTCCCCTCCCAAAGGAGGCACAGCTTTCTTTAAGCTTTCCCCTAACCTCCCCCCCCCCCCCCCCCCGCAAGAGGAGAGGGACCCACCCATGTCAGCTGCCAGGGCTCCTTCCCTATTCATGGCACTTAAACTGCTGAATGACTGAAGCATGAATGAATGAATGAATGAATGAATGAAAGAAAAATGCATTCTGGCATAGTGCCTGCCAGAGCAGGATTCCGCACCTATGGCCCCCCAGGGCTCATCCTGCAGCACTACCCCACATGGCTGCATCTTTCCTCCTCTTTCATGATGGCCAGGAGAGGAAGGCTCCCTGAGCCATGGGGGAGGGGGCAGGGGAAGGGGCCCTTACCGCCGGCCAGGCGTGGGAAGGTGCGATAGCGGTCCAGGTTCTGGGCTACCTGCTTCCACAGGTTTTTAAAGGTGCTGAAATCAGAAGACAAAGCGGGGATTAGGGAGCCAGCTCGGGTATCTGAGGGTGACTGTCGAGATGGGTGGGGCTAAAAAGCCCAGTGAGGAACGAACGCCAGGGTCAGCAACCTGGGAGGCGAGCAGGGGACCCAGTAGGTGGTGGCAGCTAGAAATGGGGAGCATCACAGGCTACAGGGATGCAGCAAGGGGAGCCCTGGTGGCAAGACAGTGCAGAGAAGCCCAGGGAGGGGGGCGGAAGTACTGGGTTCAAGCTCTAACTCAAGATACCCATGGCTGTGTGACCTATCACTCATTACTTATCCTCTCTGAGCCTCAAATTCTCATCTATTCTGGATGGGAATGGGGAACTGGAGGCAACAGTCCCACGGCAGGGCTGTTCCGTGACTAACTCTAATGAGTCCAGTACTCAGACGGTGCCAGCGCACCGCACGTGCCCAGTTGGGGCCGGACACTGTCCCTATCTGCATGGGGCGCTCTTGCCCAGCACCCAGGCTCCAGAGGCCAAACTGAGGAGGATCCTGGGAGAGGAAGCGTGGGCCCGGCCTCCTCCCTGGGCACCTCCTCCCCGGGCGCCTCCTCCCCGGGCTCCGAGTGTGACCAACCCCAGCGCCACAAAACAATAAAAATGCTAATCACCAGGGAGCGGGCGACACAGTAGCTAATACTAATTTATGACTTTCCCACCTTTAAGCCTCTGCTCATCAGAGCATGGCAAATGGGGGCCGAGCCTGCTCCGCCCGCTAGCAGGCAGGGCCCCGCGGGGCTGCGCTGGCAGAGCAGCCTCTGGAAACGGCCTCCTCAGCAATTCTAACGCCGCAGTGCCACCCGGGAGGGAGGGGGTGGGGGAGCCGGAGGACCCCAGGGCTGACCCTGACATCTCTAGCCGGGTGGTCCGTGGGCACCCCAAACTCAAAGTAACCAACAGGTGACTCCTCTTTGCCCTCACCCCCCACTGCTGGGCCTTCTGGGTGCCACTTTGTGAGCGATGCCTCCTGCCCCGAGCCTGGAGGTTCCCGCTGACCCGCCACCCCGACCCCACAGACAGGCGATCGAATCTGCCTGCTGCTTTCTCCATTCCCACGGTCTCCCCCCGGGTGCAGGCCCTGCTGTCCTGTCTCATGTGGAGAGACTTGTGTGCAGAGCAGCAGCGCCCTCACTGGGACAGTGAGGACACGGAGGCCCAGAGAGGGGAAGTGGCTCCCCTGCAGCAGCACAGCAAGTGAGTACGGACAGCGGCAGACCGTGTCACGTGCCCGTCTCATCGGCTCCTCACAGCCCAGCTCTGGAGAGGTGAAAGGCGGACTTCCCTGAAGCATCCTATTCCCCACCCCCCCACGCCCACCCCTCTCAGGCGCTTACGGCACGCTGCCTGTGAAGTTGATGCCGCACAGGTGCTCGGAGCTAGTAATAGTGTCCCCAAAGGTGGGCCCGTCAGCCGGCACAAATTGGATGACGTTGGGGGGCAGGCCGGCCTCCCGGAGGATGCGGTAGACGGCATAGCTGGCCAGCATGGCCGTGTCGCTGGGCTTCCAAAGGACCACGTTGCCCTGCTCGGGAGGCACAAGGATGACACAGGTTGGGGCCACCAGTCTGACTCCTCCCACCCTGCAGCCGGGTCATCCCTCCCCTGGACCACAGGCCCCTGTGCAGGCCAGGATGTCCCCTGCCCGCCCACACCGCCAGGTGCCAGGCATGTGCTCCAACAGCCCTCGCCAACCCCGCCCCAGCCCAGGCGCCCTTCCTCCAGCAGCCTGCACGGGCTGGTCCCGCCTGCATCCTGAGGCAGCTCTGTTCTGGGCGTTTCTGAGTTGCTGGGTGCTCACGGGTGTGGCTGAGCAAGTGCGCACAAGGCTCTCTCTGCACGTGTCCCGGTGAGAGCACGTGGGCGTGTGCGCGTGTGCGCATCAGTCTGTGGGCAGAGGCACGGGGATGGCCGTGTGCGTGAGCATCCTCCGGATCACCCAGCCTTCCTGCCTGGGCCCAGGCCCCCGACGACTGTCAGCCCTCTTGCTGCGACTCCCAGACACCCAGGCCCTCCGAAGGCAGGGCCCCGTCTGCCCATCGGACAGAAGCTCATGAGGACGATGGTCAGCTTCACTCTTTACAACTAAGTGGAGCCCTGACCAGTGTGGCTCAGTGGTTGAGCACTGACCCAGGAACCAAGAGGTCACCGGCTCGATTCCCAGTCAGGGCACATGTCTGGGTTGCGGGCTCAATACCCAGAGGGGGCCATGCAGGAGGCAGCCGATCGATAATGTTTCTTTCATTGATGTTTCTATTTCTCTATCCCTCTCCCTTCCTCTCTCTCTCTAAAAATCAGTAAAAACACTTTTTAAAAAACTAAGTGGAGTTTGGCTCAGTGGGTAGAGTGTTGGCCTGTGGACTAAAGGGTTGCAGGTTCAATCCCTGGCCCCGGTCAGGGCGGATGCAAGAAGCAAACAATATATGTATCTCACTCACATCAATGTTTCTCTCTCTCTCCTTCCTCCCCTCTACTCTCTCTAAAAAAAAAATGGAAAAAATTTTCTTGGGTGAAGATTTAAAAAAAAAGCTACCCATACGACCATGGCAACTAAGTCACCAACACCCAGCAAGCATTCAATGGTGAGCTAATCATCACCATCACTACCTGTCACCACAGACTGGCCTGCACAGGGCCAGACCTGCCTGGCGTTCGGCGTGTCACATGGCCGTCTCATTCGCTCCTCACAGCCCTGGACACAGGCTTTCCTATTGCTGCCACTTTGCAGATGAGCAAACCGCCTTAGAGCAGAGTGCAGTCTTAATGGGGTCACCTAGAGCAGTGCAAGCCGGGACCCAAACCAGCCTCTGACCTCAAAGCCTTCCCACGGCCCCACACGCACTCCACCCGCTGTGCTTCGCCGTGACTGGGGCTGGGACCTCAAGGGCTCGAGACGGGAATGGTGCTGAGCTCCCGCCACCCCTGCCCGCGGCCCGTATCTCACCATCAAGGCCGGCGCCCCCGCCAGGTTGCCGCCGATCGCAGTGAAGTTGAAAGGGGAGATGGCCGCCACGAAGCCCTGGAGACAGAGGAGGTGGTGAGGCCAAGCTCAAGGCTTCCAGCAGCCCCCGGGTGCGTGCACCCTGGCCCTGCGGTACCTCCAGCCCCCGGTACACCACGCTGTTGGTGCTGGGCGGCACGCTGATGGGCTGCTCCCCCTCCAGCTCCACGGCGAACTTGGCGTTGAATCGGAAGAAGTCGATCAGCTCGGCCGCTGCGTCGATCTCCGCTTGGATCACTGTCTTACCCTGTGAGGCGGGAAGGCCGGGGGTCAGCAGTGGCAGACCTGCCTCCGCTGGCCCTGACGTGGGACCCTGTGCCACGGTGACTCCTGCCGCAGGGTAAATACGTGCCCTCACTAGGCGAGCTGGGCTAGAACCAGGCCTTGTGACTGCAAACGTTTCCTTAGACCGTCTGTCCTTCCCGATGGTGAATGTGAGCCGCGGGGAAAGGACTGTGGGCAGCAAAAATGGGCCTTTCCCACCTTGGCACACAGGGTCACTGGCAGCTGCTCGCCCTGCTGGACATGGAGCCAAGGAAGTGAGACACTGCCCCCTGCTCTGCTCGGCTACTGCGCTTCTTACAACTTTCTGTGTGTCTCTTCCTGCCCAGGTGTGGCTCACCTGGGACACTCGAAGCGTGATACCCACCCCAGGGGCCACTGAGAAAATCGGGACACTTGGCAGGGTGTGGAGCTGCCATACCGATCTGTGCAGCAGGGGGAGCTCTCACTGCAGGAAGAGCGCTGGGCTGACCAACCCCTCAAGGCTCCTTCCTGTGGATGGTGAAATTAACGCTTTCTCCCTCCTCAGCTGCTCTGGCTCAAATGCACTCACTCAAAAAACCTTTATCCGGGAAGACATGACGCAAGGCCCAGAAAGAGGGAGAACTAACGAGAACATGTGATCACTGTCCCCAAAAAGCTTGTAAAGGGGCAACAGACACATAGGAAGTCATTCCACCCCACTGGGAACTGGGCTGTAATTGACAAATGAACAGCATGCTAGGGGGCAGGCTGAGCTGTTTGGGCAGAGAAGGTTCTGGAAGCCTCACAGTGGAGGTGATATCTGGGCCGGCCATTGATAGGTAATAGTTCACGGGGCACAGAAGAGAGCGAGCACTTCAGACAGGAGACACCAGGCAGAGGCGGGGATAGGGGACGCCATGGTGTCCAGGAATGTCACCAGGTCCAGACTAGCATCACCACAGGCAGGCCTGGCGGGAAGGGCAGCAGCTGGCGAGCTGGAGAGAGGTGGGAATGCGGGGCCCTGGGGGCTGGGCTCAGGATCTGGGTGTGCCTCTCAGTGGGGTGTAAGCCTGAGCAGCCTGCTGGGGTGTCGGGAAAACCTGAGGGTGCAGGGTCCCACCAAGCCCAGAGGACTGCACAAGGCGACTGTCACTCAGGCGAAGCATGGCAAAGGCCTGCCAGGGTGCGGACAGAGGGGAAGGGGCATTTCCGTGGTCGGGCACGCAGGTTCAGCACAGTCCACCATGTCTACCATTTTGTGTGTCCCTTCTCCTAGGCCTTGTCCCTCGAGGATGTCTCTGAGTCTCCAGCCAGCAGAGCAGGTCTAGGCACCCAGAACTGATGACTGCCGAATTGAACAGGGTGCAACTGCCTCCCACTCCAACCCCCCACTGTGCCGCAGGCACCTCACCTGTCCCACCATGGTCTTGGCAAGGACCTCTGCCCTGCGCGGCCCGCTCAGCATGTCTGCCGCCTTCAGGAAGATCTGGGCCCGGTCTGCGACAGGCTTCAGGTCCCACTCCTTCCTGGCGGCCAGGGCGGCCTCGATGGCCTTGTTGAGCAGGGCCTAGGAAGAGGACAAGCTGGGGCTTCTTCTGTGGCCGGAAGGGTCCCAGGGGTGAGCGAGGGAGGAGAGGTCTGGAGGTCCACTCCTCCCCGGGAAGGCCCTGCTCCCTGAGCCCTCAGCGTCCCCTCCCCGGTGGCTACTGTGTCCCACTGCCACAGGCCACCCAGGCGCGGAACCTGACCTGCTGCCAGTCTGGAGAAGTCTGACTGCCAGTGGGGTCCGCATGCCAGCACCTGGCACTGAGCCCCTCAGCTGTTAGACCACGTCCTCCTGTGGCCTCGTCAGGGCCTCACCTTAATCCTGGGGATGGGGCCCCTGAACCCACCACCTAGAGCCACCAGCCCTCAAGGTCAGGGCCCTGGGCGTATCCTGGCCAGGTCAGAGCCACAACCCAAGACGTACACCTGCTGCCGGCACCCCCAATGCCACCTGCCTCACTGCCACGTGATGCTCGCTCCTAGACCCCGAGCCACAGGTAACCCCAGCCCCTCTCCCTGATACCAATGGCGTCCGACTTACCATCCATGATGTCTCCAATCTCCCTGCCCCAGCTCTCCAGAATCCACCGCCCCCACCCCCCCCACATCAGGGTCTGCTCCATGGCAAGAGCATGTCCAGCCCGGATCAAGGCAGCTCCCACAAGGCTCAAGTTAACCCTGGCGCGCCTGGCCCTTTAAAGGCACCCATCCAGGACTCCCACTCTCAGCTGTCCCATCTATAGCCTATCCCCCGTGCCAGAGGGAAGCAGGGTCTGATGTCCACCTCCAAGTCTGAAACCAGGAGGACAGGAGAGGGGCAGCACCCCAACCCCAACGTTGCCAGGGACTCACCTTGTCTGCATAGCAAAACTTGGCCACCTTGTGTCCATGGTTGAAGGGCTGAAAGGAGAGAAGAGTGAGGTCACTGCCCAGGAGGGAGGTGCCATGTAAGCTGACTTCCCCTCTCCGAGTGCTGCCTGAGGACCCCAGGCTCGGGGAGGGGCCCGGCCCTGCCCACCCATCGGACTCACCGACACCTGGTATTGCACGTCCGAGGTCCACACCTCCTCGTCCCCCACCACGCACGGGATGGCTTCCGTCTGGCCCTTCAGGTCCTTCAAGGCCTGAGGAGGGGACAAGATGGCAGACGGGCACTTCCTTCCCCTTCTCCCACCTAGAACCCGACGCAGAACCAGAACCAAGGAGGCGGCCGGTGGGGCTGTGGCCGGAGAGCATGTGCTCCCTGGGGGGACAGGATGCAGCCCCTCCGCGGTCACTTCCTGTCACGCAGGAAGGCGAGGCCAGTATGGACAGGTTTCCCCGTTAAAAAGATTCAAAAACTGCCGAAACCGGTTTGGCTCAGTGGATAGAGCGTCGGCCTGCGGACTGAAAGGTTCCAGGTTTGATTCCGGTCGGGGGCATGTACGTTGGATGCGGGCACATCCCCAGTAGGGGGAGTGCAAGAGGCAGCTGGTCGATGTTTCTCTCTCATCAACGTTTCTAGCTCTCTATCCCTCTTCCTTCCTCTCTGTAAAAAATCAATAAAATATATTAAAAAAAAAAAAAAAAAGATTCAAAAACTGCACCTGACATGTATGTGGACTCTGTTTTAAAATGCTAGCAATTAATGGGAGAGCATGTAAGGTGTGTGAGCATATGACTCCTGACGGCACCGAGGCCACCCGGCTGCTCCCTGCCTCTCTCAGGCTCTGGACCCACCGCCTCCCCAGACCCGGGGCTGGGAGCAGGGGCGGGAGGGGGCATGGCTCAGCTCAGAGAGCATGCTGGGCTGCTGAGGCTGCCTCCCATGCCCTGCACCTTACCTTCTGCAGTGCCTCTCGCTCGGGGCTGCCCTTGGTGAACGCCAAGATGGGCTCGTTGGCCACCTTCAGGGAGGAGGCGTGTTTCCACCGAAGCCTGGATGAAGGACAGGGAGAGGTGGCAGGTCAGCTGGATGAAGGGCAGGGAGAGGTGGCTGTCAGCAGAGACCTCCACAGACCAGTCTCCAACAGGGGGGCCTGGGCTGGCCTGGAATCCTGAGATCCAGAGCAACTATAGAACCGGGGGGGGGGGGGGGGGGGGGGCGCGGAGACAAGCCTTGGGGTGCAAAATCCAAGTTCAAGTCCCAGTCCTGCTGTGTGTCCTTGGGCTCATGAGCTGCCTCCTCTGAGCCTGTTTCTACATGAGAAGTGAGAGTAATCATGCCAACCCCACGTGTTTGGAGTTGAAATCCAGAGGTGCAAAAGCATATCTCAGTGTGCGTGCGTGGAGTGCGTTTCCCCACGAGGCAAACTGGGTCCCAGAACAGATCCGGTCGCTCCTCTAAGCTGAGGAGGCAGGACATCCCGGAGCTGAGCCCCCAGCACACAGAGCCAGCCGAGGGCGAGCAGGAAAGTTCGAAACCTGCCTAGGCGGGAACTTGGAGAGTGCCCTGAGCTCCGCTCACAGAGAGGGAGGGCAGGTTTGGGGGTTCAGGGTCTGGTTCCTGGGCACTGAGTTTCAAGAACTCCTTGTTCTGGAGCCCCTATTGAGTCTGGAACCTGTGACCTCTTGCTCAGTGACCACTATGGCCATCACCCTAAAGGTGGGGGTGGGGGGGATGAGGTGGGAGGACGAGTGGGTAAGACCTTGGAGTCAGTCATTCCAGAGCTGGAGCCTCAGCGGTGGGACTTCTCCTCCAGGCCTCAGTTTCCTCATCTGTAAATGGGGACATCAATGACAAAGGCACCTAACCCACACAGGGCTCCTTAGACTGGAGACGGCCTCCCATCCGTCATGGATAGGCCAATCGACGGCTCTCACCAGGGCCTCATTATAGAAATAAGGTAACTTTGGTCCTAAAAGGAAGATGGCTAGTTCAAGATCAAGAGCAGGAGACCTGGATTGGAATCCAGAAAAACCCAGGAATCATCTCCCTCTGGTGTCACCATCCCCAGCAGAGACCATGGGAATGCGCCTGCAGGTGGACAAGTGGGGTTACTGCTGGATGGAGGAGGGAGCGTGCACCCCTGGGGGAAGCAGCCCCTCGTGTAGCAAGACGGGGGTGTCTGGTCCCCTGGGGGTGGCACGGTGACCTTGTTTCCGTCTGCGCTCAGACAAAACTATGCCACAGTATTGTTGTGCCTCAGAGTGACCTTGCCTGAGGCCGGTGTTTTGGGAGGTGGCTGATGCCCAGCAGGAGGACGGGAAGGCCCGCCTATGAGGGCTGGGGGCTTCTTCCTTTCTCTGGGAAGAGGGTGGGTGGGAGCTGAGAGCTGGGCTGGGAGGCCTGGAGGAAGGAGAACAGAAAGGGGCTGTGAGGGAGGTCCTGCGTTCCCCCTACAAGGTTACTGAACCCGGGCTGCATCCCGCACGCTGTTCCGGACTTCGGAGACACAGTGAGGCTCTGGCTGCACGCAGCTGACTCCTGCCAAGTGGGGGTCACGGGCAGAAATAAACCCTCTGATGACAGAAGGGCCCTGGAAATGAGTCAGCAAGGGGAAGGGTGGAGCCAGGGTGGTCAGGGAGGGCCTCCCGGAAGAGGTGAGCTCAGCGGGACCTGGAGGAGGTTTAAGAAGAGCTGGGAAAGTGGTCTGGGCCCAGGGGAGAGCAGAAAGGGGCCCGTGTGGTTGAGGGGCAGGGCCGAGGCCTAAAATCCCAAAGGGCCAGGTATCCCAGGGACCTTCTCCCTCTCTCCCCTTCCTCACCCCCAGGCCACACCCACCAGGCCCTGACACATTCCTCAGGCCCCGCCCTCCCCCTTCCAGTAGCTGCGTGACTGGGCAGATCACTGACACCCATCCTGTGGGGTGACTATGGAGACCTGAGGAAACAATGCTAAGCTATAGAGGTGCTCAATAAATTAAAACCCGCACTGTCCTTCCTCCTATTATAGTGGGACGGAGGGGGCAGGAGGCCAGCAGAAACCAGCAAGGGGGGCGGAGTCTAGCCGGGGACCTCAGGAGCAGGACGCCACCACCAATCAGTAAACCAGATGCGGCCAGTTCTCTTTAAGCCTAGAAAGCCTCCCCTCCCCCCACCGTCGCAAGTGCTGGGCTGGAGCCTGGGGCCACCCCAACCTCTCTGCAAACCCCCGACCTGGTGGGTGGGAATAGCACAAGTTCTGAGCAGACACACCCCAGACCAAAGCCCAAGGCTGCTGGGAGACCTCAGCACACATCCCGCATCTGAAAGAGGGGTCATCCTAGGTCCCACCCCAGTGTTACTGGGCAAGACGAGGAACCTCCCTTCTTGTCTTTCTGAGCCAAGATTTCAATCAAGAGACAGCGTGCAGCAAAGCAAGCAAGAATTTATCCACCAATGTAGGCAGCACCAACACACGTGAGGGCAGTCAAACGGGAAGGGCAGAGAAGAAACAGCAGGGGAGCCGGGGCTGGGCTGCTTTGGCTCTCTGGGGGAGAGAGAAAAGGGGGAGAAGGGGGCCCTGGAAACAGGTTCAGGGGGTTAGCCCAGGGAGAGCTGGTCCCTTAGAGTTAGGGGATAAGTGTGGGGTTGGCGCGGGTGGAAGGGGGGTGGGGGGTGGGCAGTTGTGGCACAGGCATGCTCCCTGGGGGGGAGAGAGCACTGGGACCTTCATTTTCGGGGGTTTTAAAGGCTGGATGTTTAGTGGTGGGTCAAGAGAATATCCATCAGCTTGATTTATTCTCTTCATTTGGGTGTGATTGGCAAATGGCACTTAAATGGATTTGTTATGTCTCCCAGAGTAGGGTGCTTTAAGCTATTTACCCCCTGGCTGGGGAGAAGTGAAATCATTTACTCTTAAGTGTCCTTGGTTTAGGGAAGATAGGTTTAGGGAAGGTGGGCACAAACAGCTGTTCAACTCTCTGCCTCAGTTTCCCTACCCCACTCCTCCTGGGATTTTCCTTGCTTTCCCTATTCTGTAACACTAGGTCCCTGTGAGAACGAAATGGCTTGCCTTTCCTCACCCTCCTGCTCTTAGGAGTTTCTAAAGGAACTAAGATCTTCCAGGATGCTCACTCCACCATGCCAGGCTTTCAAAGGCAAATCGGTTCCCAGACACCCCAAGGGGCTGGCCCAGGTGCTCACCGAATGCTTCTGGAATAAGCAGCACCCTAGTGCACCCAGGGCAGAAGCTGGAAATGTCGCGTTACCAGCTCTCCTTTCCCTGTCCCCGGCCAGGCAGGGTCCGAAACAGAAATCCTGCAGACCCCACTCCACTGTCCCCAGGACAGAGGTCCACTGTGACCTCAGGATCACACGCCCCAAGGGCTCTCTCTAAACCTAGAAAGTCCAGGCCCGGGGACAGAGACCAGTTCAAAGATCATCCTGAGTGGAATAGAGCCAAGAACAAAAATCCAGGGGCTGGAAAGAAACACCCTTCCATTGGCTCAGGGCAAGGCATGGAGGAATTACTCACAAACTTAGGGCCTCTACGAGGCAGGCCTGCATCATTTGTTCATCCATTCATGCATGCATGCATGCAGCCAGCACACATTTATTCCACATTTCAAGAGCTCGGTGATAGATAACTCGGGTGTGGTGGAAAAGGCTTACACATTTTTCACCACATATTTCCCGAGTACCCACCAAGCAGGTCCCTGGGTCTGGGATGAACATGAACCCAACCCGGCCATTCTCGGGGCAGCTCTGGGCCTCTGGCCTCAGGAAGGAGGCATAGGGCAGAGTCCGAATTTGACTCCGATTCCCCAGCGACCTGAAGTGCCCCTGCTGCTCACCTGGGGACCTCCCGGCTTGGGTGTGAGACCTTAGCTCCCCCTCCCCACCCTGTGCAGGTCCTGGAATCTGAGCTTTCAGAGCCACATCAAAACACCTCCTGCAATGGGGGATACCCGGGCTGGACAGCCAAGGCGGCCTTAAAACTGAGGGGGTGCGGGGCAGGGTGGGGTTGGACGGGAAGCTCAGTTCCCTCCCGGGTTTCCCTCGGCCTACACCCTGGTCCACGGCACCGCCAGCTTTTGCCTGGGCGACTGCAATGGCCACTCCGGCTCCACTGTCACCAAGCTACTCTCCAAACCGCAGTCAGTCACAGTTTTAACATGAAAATCTGATCATCAGGCCGAGTAAGCACTTGGCTCAAAACTCCTCATGGCCTTCACTTCTTCCGCAAAAAAAAAAGCCAGACCCCCTGCTGATGCCTCCAGACCATCGCACCCATCACCCCCCAGCTCATTTTGCGCTCCCCTCTGCGTGGGACACTCTCCATGGGGCCGGCCTCAAACCACTGGACGACCCCTCTCGGATCCTCATTAGCCCGCACTTTCCTCACAGCACCCGTGACAACCCTCATTACGGCGCTCACACCAGGCCGTAAGCTCCGCTGGGCCGGCCTGTGTCCATTCCATTCACCAGTGGACACACGGCTCAGCCGGGGGTTAGCACCTGAGAAATACCTCTGAAAACAATTAACGCACCCCAGCTGGTTTGGCTCAGTGGATAGAACATCAGCCTGCGGACTGAAGGGTCTCCCAGGTTCGATTCCGGTCAAGGGCACATGCCTGGGGTGCTGGCTTGATCCCCAAGGGTAAGGTGACCAGATCGTCCCGCTTTTGGCGGGACAGTCTCGATTTTTAACAATTTGTCCCGCATCCAGCGACGATTTTTCCAAAATCGGGACTTTTTTAAAACGCTGCGGGATGCGGGACAAATTGTTAAAAATTGAGACTGTCCCGCCCAAAGCAGGGCGATCTTGTCACCTTACCCAAGGGGGATGTGCAGGAGGCAGCCAATCAGTGTTTCTCTCTCATTGTTGATGTTTCCATCTCTTTCCCTCTCCCTTCCTCTCTGAAATCAATAAAGATTATTTAAAAAAAAAAAAAAGAAAAGAAAATAATGCACAAGCAATGTCAGAGCAGACACCAGGCCCCAGGACCGGACTCCCAGGCCATGCGCACTGCTGGCACCGGGGGCTGGCGCAGGTCCAGGGGCTCCCGAGGCTGAGGCCCAGGTGGCCAGGCCAAGAAGAAGAGTAGAAGGGAGATTAGCTAGCTTCACTCAGCACCCAGGCTTCCGCTGCTGTTATCTGGGCCCTGATTAGGTTAATCCTCCTTATCACAGAGATAAGCGGCCGGCAGTGCAAGTGGACTGTGTGGGGCTCAGAGCAGGTCCAGGAGGGAGGGGCACCTCCAGCGGGATGATATACTTTATTGCCCCGGAAACATCAAAGAGCATTTATGAAGCACTAACAACATGCCTGGCACCCTGCTGAGTGATTATCTCATTGAATCCTCCCTACAAATGTATTATGAATAGTAAAACCTCAATAAAACAGATTAATTTGGGCGAGGTGGCATCTGTTACAGCCGAAAGTCCATTACATGATAAAGTAGTTCTCTGAATGTGTACGTTAAAAAATTGACAAATAGCCGAAACCGGTTTGGCTCAGTGGTAGAGCGTGGGTCTGCGGACTGAAAGGTCCCAGGTTCGATTCCGGTCAGGGGCACGTACATTGGTTGCAGGCACATCCCCGGTAGGGGGTGTGCAAGAGGCAGCTGGTCAGTATTTCTCTCTCATTGACGTTTCTAGCTCTCTATCTCTCTCCCTTTCTCTCTGTAAAAAATCAATATAAAAAATATATTAAAAACAAAAAACGAAAACAAAAAAAACTATTCATCTCTTTAAAAAAATTGACAAATTATTCAGTTTACCTATTTTCACTTACATAGACACATCTGTATAATTAAAATTAAAATTTTTCACAGAAAAGTTTTCTATATGAATTATAATTTTAAAGTTAGATTGAGTAGGCTTAGTAAATCTGTGCATTCACCAGTCACCTCGAATAAACAAATGCACGTGGCTGGGGGGCAGGGGTGGTGGCTTAGTGCACTTCTAAGTATGGGAAGTATGGGCCTGCCCGTGAAAAAAGCTGCAGAGCCCTGGCCGGTGTGGCTCAGTGGTAGAGCTTAGGCCCATACTGAAGGGTTGCAGGTTCATTCTTCAGCCCTGGGGCACATGTGGGAGGCAACCAATCAATGTTCCTCTCTCTCTCTCCCACTCCCTCCCGTTCATTTTCTCTAAAAAAAAAAAAAAACAAAAAACAAAAAACAAAAAAAAAACAAAAAACAAACCAGTAAAAATAAATGGGGAAAAATATCCTCAGGTCAGGATTAACAAACAAACAAAAGCTGTAGAACCAGCATGTCAAAGCCAGGGCCAGCGTGCCACATGCCTCATTTACTTAGGCAAGCGGCCCACCAACTGTGAGTCTGACACGCTTGCTGTAGAAAGTCCTGCCACTGACAACAGAACCAATTACCAAAATTACCAAGCTTGGCTGTTTGATTGGATAAAGTCAAAGCAGTTAGCTGGTGACAGGATTTTGGAGGATTCCTTTAGGGCTAGTAGTGGGTGGTTGGATAAATTTAAGTAAAGTAGTGTTTATTTATAAATTAAATAGTACATTAGACATGCGCTGTATAAAAGAAAGGTTGAAACAGGAAATCATTTGGGGCTCTGGAATAGATAAATTCAGTTTACATTATTTCTAATTGGGGAAAAAGTATTCAGTTTTCGAACAGATCGCTTCTCGAACAGACTTCCGGAACACATTAAGTTCAAGAAACGAGGTCACGCTGTACCTCTATGGTACTTCCGTGTGCAGTCTGAGGGGTGGTCTGAGAATGCAGGGCAGGGCGTGGCAACTACGAACCCCACCTTGGCTTTCGAGAGGAACCCTTCTCTCCCTCGTCCTCTTCTCGTGCCCTCCTTACCCCATCCCCAGCCACAGAGGACACACTGCAATGTTGAAACTCACCCCTGCCCAGGGCACCCCTGTGCCATCCCTCAGGACACTGATTAACTCAGAAAGAGCCTAGCTCAGCAGAGGAGACAGAGCTGGTCACAGTCCTAGAGATCAGGCAAACAAAACTCAAGGGGGGAGGAGGAGGCGGCTGCCCAGCTCCGAAAGGCAGACCCACCGAACACAGGTCCAATACGGGGGCAGCCTCACCCGACTGTCGGCCCCTCTGGAGCAGGGTCTGTGTCCTACCTCCCCCACCCAGTCCCCAGCAGGCGGGGGCTCTGGGGACATTTGTCACTGAGTGAGCAAGGGTCCAGGAACCCAACTCCACACCGCGGGGGTTTGCACTCCCACTCGGAAATTACAAGTCTTCCCCTGTACTGGGAAATAACAATACCTACCGCACAGGAGTTTAAAATAAAAGGGATAACGAGGATCGCGATCATACCTTGGCATTGCCTAGGTGCCTGCCACCGGTGGATGCACGTCAATGAACTAACTCCTTCAGGTCTTTACAATGAAGCATATACACCAAGTGCCTAGCACCCCACACACATTATCCCACACGTCACAAGAAAGGAGTCCCTTTTCGGCCCAACTCTTAAACTTGAAAAAGGGGAAGAGACATAGAAGTCCCAGGGAATCCCGGAGGTGGGTCCTGAGGGTGAGCCGGAGGGAGGGAAGGAGAGGGTGTTGTACTAAAGACGGAAGTGCCCTGGGGGAAGCCAGCACTCGGGCACTGGGCACCTTGGGAAGATCCATGTGAGGAGCGAGACGAGGGCGGAGGGGCTCCTCTCGGAGCTCGGGAGCCGGAAGAGCAGCGAGACCCCCCTCCCCCCAATCCGGCCGCAGGTCGGGAAGGGGGTCCTCCTCGCTGTAGGAGGAGACAGGGGTGTCGGTCCCCGGGCCCGGCTGGCACTCACCTGGCCCCACTCCAGGGGCGGGCCAGCAGGGCGCGCCGAAGCACGGGCGGCAGCATCTCCGGCTCACGGTGTCGCTGTTCTCAGGACAGTCTACCCGGGTCGCAACCTGACTGCGCTGCCCCGCCCGGAGCGCACCACCTCGGAAAGAGGGGGGGTTCCGGGTGACCCGTCGGCTGTCCTCCCAGTCAAAGTCAAGAGAAATACCTATATATTTATCCACGTTAATCAAATACTTTTTTAGTGCATGATAGAGGCCATTACTTGCCAAGGAGCCTGGTAATACAAAAGGGAAGTCTAGAGGTATTCACATTTCCCCCCTCCTCTCTTAATGGTATGACCCGGTTTCCTTGGACGCTCCCGAGGAAGAGGGCGTGAGCCCCACCGGCCAATCAGAATGACACATGGAAGCTCCTGGGCCAATCAGAGGGCGATTGTGTCTCAGTCTCCTATGACCGAGGGGGGCTGAAAGAGCCAATGAGAGAGCGGGAATGGAACACGTGCGTGGCCGTGGGTAAGGACCGCAGGTCCGGGGTCAGGTGCAGCGGCTGTCCCAGCATGACACGGAGGTGGTCACCGTCCTTCCCCGCAAGGCCACACAGCGGCCATCTGTCTCCCCGCGGGGTGCAGGCCCAGGGATGAGCCTGTCGCCCCTGCCTCCAGCTTCCTAACCCGGACCCAGGAACCCCCTACCTCTCGCCTGGAGTTGGACCAGATTCCCCGGGGCCTGGCGCCTAGATAAAGAAAGCAGCTCAATTCTTTGAAGATTAAGGTCAATAAAAGATAACATTGGAGCTGATCTACACCCAGCTTTTCTTTCAAAGCCTCTGGCTGTGGAACCAGTTGCTCCTGCAGTTTTAATTTTTCCCCTCCCTGGATCAAAAATTTAGTTTTCTCTTGGAGAAATTGGGTGAAGGCTTGAATGTTATTTAAAACTCAGATTACGAGTCTTCCTTTCCTCCTTCCTTTCTTTCTTCTTAAATATATTTTATTGATTTCAGAGAGAAAGGGAGAGGGAGAGAAAGAAACATGAATGATGAGAGAGACTCATTGATTGGCTGCCTCCTGCATGCCCCACACTAATGATCAAGCACACAATCTGGGCATGTGCCCTGACTGGGGATCCAAACGTGACTTCCTGGTTCATAGGTGGATTCTAAACCTTTCTGATGTCAGCATTTTAGGGACCCATTGTATTCCTAAAGCCCTATGTGGACGAAAGGGGCCACATGCTAATCTGACAAGCTCAGGGGAGGCCTGCATGGCAGTCTTGCAAATTCGGAGACCTAAAGTAAACACAAAGGATGGTCTCTAAACTAACTAAAAGCAGTGATGGTGGGTAATTACATTCTAGGTATCTTCACTGACAAGGTCAACCTTTACCTTAACTGAGCCTAAGTGTCTTTTTGCATCTATAATAACATACACTTGAAATGTCTGGGTAACTTGTAACTTCCCTTCTTCTGGACCCTTTGGGGCACCACCTTATGTGCTATGTGCCAGCCAGATACCACAAGTTCCTTCATTATTATCATGTTAATTGTTCCGGCACCCAGCTAAATACGTGTCTATCATTTTACTTTTGACCCAATCCCAGAGGTTCCCCCACACCCCTGGCTTTGCTTTCTCCAGCCTCCCTAATCTATCACCGATGGAGTTCATTAACCCACTTATGTCTCCTCTTTGGGTCGTAATGTATAAAACAAATGGCAAGACTGCCATTATCTCACCCACTGAGATTCTGCTTCCCGCCAATTATTGACAGTTTGGCTCAAATGAACTCACACAAAAAAAAACTCCTTACTGATGGGAATGTTTCTCACGTTCATACCTGCTAAGGAGTCCGTTCCCATTCTCATTGTGGTTCCTCCCTATGACATTGACAAAATTTGTTAACTTCCCTGGGCCTCAGTTTCCTTGTCTATAAAGTGGGGGTAATGACGCCCACCTTAGAATGACCTCAGTATCTATGCTATTCTTCCTTCAGAAGGTCACACTCGGGGAACAGAAACAGTTGGGAGTTGGAAAAAAAGAAACAATAAGTGAGTCTTGGATACCTCAGAAAGTGGATTGGGATTGATGGGACTGTTTCTCTTAATCCTTGAAGAAAACCCTAGTCGGGGGTCAGAGGCAGTTCATACAGAGCAATGTTTTTCTGAAGTTGGTCATTAACAAGAAAAAGCTGGAACGCTGGACAATGTCAAATTCAGAGTCTGGGATCTGGCCTCTCTTGGGCACTGTGAGGAAGTTTACGAAACGGGGATTTGGGGATTAGCAGGACCTCAGTTCCTCTGCCTGTGACCTTCACTTTGGTAAAATGTGTATAATAAATCCTGCTGTCCCTGCTTACAGAGATCTTATTATGAGAGGCAGGAGATGTGAAAAGTCCCCTATGTCACCACTAATTAGTTTGCATTCGTGTTTATGTGGCCCTCAGTCCTCTTGCCATTTTATCCTCAGTTAAAAAAAAAGAAAAAAGCACACCATCGTTTCTAAGACATTTCACTTTATTCAAAAGAAGCCAATATACAGGATATAAAGGGTACAATATTTACAACAGTACAGTAAACAGGTTGGTTTCCCGGTAGGATCAGTAGTCTTTCATATAAACCCCCCCTTCCCCGTGATGCTAGGCCCAGCTGGCAGACAAACAGCGACGTGGGGTGGGATGGGGCTGCAGGACAGAAAGTCTCCCTGAAGGGATTAAAAACCACGTGGATGCTAAAATGCCCACAGAGAGGGTATTGGGGGTAAGGGGTGCCTTTGCCTCATTCCTTTGAGGGTTTGGCAGCAGAAATGGTGAGGGGTTTGCTCCAAACGAACACATGGCCCACCCCGAGCCTGTGAATCTTCCACCCATGGATGACTCCCTCCCCGAGAGAGTCAGCCCTAACCCCTCACCCAGGGCCTGGGGCAGCAGCCTGGGCAGTGGGCACAGCCAGGACGTGGACATTTCATGGCTTTTCCTCTCCCCCTCCAGCTGCCTAGCAACCTGGGACCCACGAGAGCTCTGGAAGGTCCCAGGCCCCAGGGAAGCCATGTGGTCCCAGAACCAGCAGCCCCATGCCACCCACACTCTCCCAAATTCAGTGGACTCGGAAGTGGATCTTCACACAGTTCAAATGACTTGTGGGAGCCCACCTAGTTCAAATGACTAGTGGGAAGCAGAGTGTGTCCCCTATCTCGTGCCCCCTCTCATCCCCCACCCACCCACCTCCATGCTGAACTCGCCACTGCCCACCCACTCCCACCAGTGCCCTCCCCTCCCCCCAAGACATCCAAGGACCCAGGAGCTGCGGGATCAGAGAACAGGGGACCGTGGCGAGGTGGGGCCTCTGGGCTGCCAAAGCCGGCTCATGGGTGCGGGGAGCAGGCGGTGAGGACAGGGAGATGGGGTGAAGGGGACCGGTTATATGGAATCCAGCAGCAACATGCACAGCGCCCACAGAAAAACCCTGGGCAGCCACAGCCGCCGAGCCTAGATTACAAACCCTTCCTTTCATAAAAATAGACAAGAGTCTCTTGCTTTATAAATAGATTACATTTAGCTTAAGTTACGCCTTATATTATCCCCTTACCCCACGCCCTCTTCCTCATCCCCAGCCCAAGAGGCTTGGTTCTCCCGAAAACATCTGAGCTTGCACCCACAGAGCGAAGTGCGAGATGGACTGGCCCTTCAGAGACCCGTCCGTCAAGACATATTGCTACAAGAAGACAAAATGTGTTCACTTGCCAAGAATTTTTCCCCCTGTTTGGACTCTCAGAGGAGTGCGTGCGTGCGTGTGTGTGTGTGTGTGTGTGTGTGTGTGAGTGTGTGTGTGTTCCACAACCAAGGAACCAAAAGGAATTCCTCATCCTGCCCTTGCCCAATCCTCTCTGTTTATAAACCCCCCAAAAGAGGAGGGTGAGAAAGGGCTGCCCAGGAGAGCCCCTCTGAGAACCACCTACAATACCAATGTCAATATGACACTGGGCTTAGAAGTAGAAACCAAAAAAAAAAAATTAAGTATTTACAACTTTACAAAGAACAGGCCAGCGTATCCCCTCTGGACCCAGCGCTGCCTCACTTGGGGTCTTTCTTGGCAAGCTGTGGGCCCATGGCGAGGGGACAAGCGAGGCCCACTGGCAGCTAACTCAGAGAAGAACTCAGTGGGGAGGGAAGCAGCCAGGCCAGGACCCGGGACCCTGTACTGGAAGCAGGTGGGCCACATCCTTGGGGTCCCTGCCCCGCCTACCTGCCGCAAATCCTGGCTCCCCAGCAGGGAGGAAACTTCTCAGCCAGTGTCTCTCTCTCTCTCTGGCTCCTGCCATATCTATAGTCCTTGGACAAATTCAGAGTCCTCTAGTCCCCAGGGACTAATGTCTAAAAGGGGGAAGGAAAAAATAATACATGGACACCAATCACCTTAGTCACCCCCAAAATACACCGTTGCCTTATTGTTATATTTTTAACATTGATAGGCCTGTCCCCCCCCCAATCTTTCCCCACCACCACCTGAAGGAATCGCCCAGGGCTGGCTCCCGCTCTGCCCGCCTGCCCACACCACGCACCACCTCCCTTACCGCTGGACAGCGGCCTGCAGGGCCATCTCCCTGCCCTCCAGGAAACGGAACGTCTTTTTAGCAGCTGAGGTCTGAGCCCAACAGGCTCTGATAACCTTTGGTTAAAATAAAGCTAAACTAAAACAACGACAACAACAACAGCAATAATGGCCAGGTATGTGTGAACCCTGTAACCTTGAGAACAAGGGTCGGCCTCCTCCGAAGCCGTCGCCCTCTCGTACCTGCCACGGGCCTGTTGGCCAATGGGAGACGCTGGGCATGGAAGCCTCCCGGCCACAGCGCCGCAGGGAACAGAACGACTCGCCCAACAGCAACGAAAATTAGAAAGAAAAAAAAACACCCTAAAGGCCACCAAGTTCTGATAAATAAGAATAACACACTGTCATAACTCGCTTGCTCTCTCTCCATATACATGTATATATATATATATATTATGTGACTATTATATACAAAGGTTTTAAGACTGCAAAACAGGTAGGGGAAACAGAAGAGAAAGAAGGCCCTTAACGGTGGTTGGTACCCTGGGGGGTGGGGGGAGGAACACCGGGGGACACAACCTACTGGGAGCCAGAACCCCTCTTGTGCCGCTAGTCATAGGCCCCAGAGGTAAGGAGTCCTGGTCCTCGGGCTCAGTGTGCTCCTTTGACCTCCAGGGGACGCTGCTGGGCCAACAAAAACAAAACTTGCACCACAGGCATGGGGACAAAAGACTTAAAAAAAAAAAAAAAAAAAGCAAAGCCTGGTCAGCTGGCTCCAAGCTGGGACTTGGCAGGTGGCCTCACACAGCCAGGCCCACTCAGGTGCTGGGAGAGACTGGCTCAGTGAACTCCCAGGGTCAGTCCGTGAAGAATGGGAAGAAGCTGGCAAGTGTGAAACAAGGATGGTTCTCTCCTGAGCGCGGCCTGCCACCTCCAACCTGCCAGCAGCCCTCATTGCCTCCCTCCTCCTCCCTTCCCAATGCCTGCCACTGACCCGACTGGGCCCAGTGGAGAACCAAGATGGCAGCAGGCGGGCCTGACCCGACTCCACTGGGGAAGGGGTGGCCACAGGCTTTCTCACAGAGAAATGACAGACCCCCACCCCTTACAGTTTGGCTGGAAACAGAGGGGAAAGCATCAAGTCATCAGGGCAATAAAAGACCCTCAATCCACCGAGGTCCCCAGAAAGCAAGCGGTCAGGTGGCCAAGGGCGTGGCAGGACCCAGGCCTCTTGACTGACCTTGACCGAACCCCCTCACAGGCTGCGAGAGACATGGCCCCAGCGGTGGCCTCCCTCCCAGCTCCAAGGGAAAACCCTGAGTCGGGGAGAGGGCCTCCCTTCCACAGTATATAAGGCAAGCTGCTTTGTTGTTTGTTTGTTTGTTTTGTTTTTTTGCATAGTAGTTTAAACACAGTGAGGCTCCACCTTCCCCCACAGTGCCTTGTCCCTCCGCTGTGCCACTTGGTCCAAAAAGAAACTAAGAATTTGTCTTCCCTCCCTCCTTCCATCTTTCTCCCTTTTGGTACGTGAAAATAAAACCTAGGAAGGTCCCACCTGGGCGTGGAAAGTTCGCCGAGGCAAACAGCTCCGTCCTGGGTGGAAGTGGGCCACCCCGAGCCCCACTCCATCAGTGCTGGCCGGCAGGGGACGGGAGGGCATAGGTCATAGCCAATCAGAGGAGCAGGTGGGAGGGCGAAAACCACAGTCTGCCACACCTCGCCTCAGAGTTTCGTATAAAAACAACACCTGCTAGGAGGAATTCTTTGGAGCTCAAAGTGGCTCAGCTTAAGGGAAAAGGCACGGTTCCCGCTGCATCATCTGGACAGAAGTCTGCATTGGTAACGTGGAGAATAGAAATTGAGAGCACCATTCCGTGGGTGGGTGGGTGGGTGGATGGAGAGGGGGCACGGGTGGATGGTGAGTGGAAGGGAGGAAGGAAGCAGCGGTCCCTTGGGGCCTCCAGAGAAGGAGGGCAGAGGACGTCCGTGCGGTGAGGACCGGAGTCCCACTCCGAGGAGCCTTCCTGGCAGAGGCCCCATCTCCAAGACCACCAGGCACAGCGGGCCTCAGCCATCAGCTGACCATGGGCTCCACGTCCGCCTCCCGCTCAAACTCGTCCTGGATCTCGTCTGTGCTTCCTGAGTCGCTGCTGGCCACGGAGCTGGGGGACGGGGAATTCCTGGAAGGAGGAGAGAGCGGGGGTCAGTGTGGGAGGGGAGGCAGCCTGAGGACCCCTGAGGAGGGATTTAAGGGGTAGGAAGGGCTGAGCCACCACTCCTGGAAGACCTGACCTCTTAGGGGGGTCCTTCCCTGAGACCCCCCCCCCTCCACCCCTGCTCTGCTTTCCATAGACTCTCCTAAGCCCACACGTTGAACATGGCTCTCAGGAGCTCTGGGGGCCTCCTGTCCAGCCTCTAGTTGCTCCAGGTACCGAAAGCCCCGTGGGAGCAGAGACCACGGATCAAGAGTATTATTAGCTTGGCTATCTTCCCAATAAGGCTATGTGTTCCTTTATTTTATATATATATATATATTTTTTTTTAATACAAAAAATATATATAAAATATATATAATATATGTAATACATTGTATTATATGTATTATATATTATATTTTATATATATTATATATATTATATAATATATATGTAATATATAAAATTGATTTCTGAGAGGAAGGGAGACAGAGAAAGAGAGAAACACCAATGATGAGAGAGAATCAGGGATTGGCTACCTCCTGCACATCCCATACTGAGGATCGAGCCGCAACCCAGGTCTGTGCCCTGACCAGGAATTGAACTATGACCTCCTGGATCATAAGGCAATGCTCAACCGCCGAACCAGGCCGGTTGGGCGAGGCTCTGTCTTTGTCTTGGGGTATCAGCCACCCCAGCAAATAAAAGGGCCTGGCCCACCTGGCCCCGGTGTGGGATATGGGAAAGGAGGTGAAATAGCTTCCGATGGGCAAATGGGGGTCCCATCAGCCAGGGTGGAGGGGAGTGTCCTGCCCACCTTCTCCACTCCCCCATTCAGCAGAAAGGGGGTGTAAGCTCCCTAGGGCAGGGGCTATGGCTGCTATGCTCATCCCTGTATCCCCGTGGCCTTGCCCAGAGCAGGCCTCGGACAAGGAGCTGTTGAGTAAGTGGGTGCAGGGAGTTAGGTGAAATTAGAGACGTCATCTAACGTGCAGGAGGGAGGTGACTAATATTCATGGATGGATGGCCAGACAGGTGCGCCGGGCCGACGAGACAGGCCAGACTTGTAAGTTGCAGCCTCATAAACTTCCCGCAAGGACCCAACTGCCGAATCCCCGGGGGGCAGGGCCAGGCACCTGTCCGCGGAGCCTTTGATGAGCCGGCGGCACGTCTCCATCTGCACGTCCAGGCCTCGCTTCATGCTGCACATCTCCATGTATTCGTGCAGGTGCCGGTTCATGTCGCTCTTGGCGGTGGCCAGCTCGAGCTGAGGGGAACCAGAGTGGGGTAAGGTGAGGCCAAGTTATCCTCACAGCAAACCCTCAGCAATCCTCTCCCTCCGTCTGAGTGCCGGCGGCCTCCAGACCACCCCTGGACCCCACAGACGCCCGCAGGACCCTGCTTTGGTCTCTGTTCTCTGGATACCCATCCCCATGGCCTCTCGCAGGGCTTCTTGGGAAAGGGGAATGGTTGCTTAGCAACCACAGGGCAGCCTTCCCTGATGAGCCCACCTGGTTCTACCAACTCTCCTCCACCCAGCACCTCTGGGTTCCTTTCGGTGGCCTTGATTGGAAAAGTCCTCATGTCTTCACATTTCCGACCCTTCTCCTCCCCCTCAGGAGACATCCCCAGGCCAGAGGCCCCTCCTTCTCCAACATGACAACAGCAGGGACCGCACGGGCAGACATGGCCAAGTGCAGGCTCTCGGGTCCAGAGGGCGGGGCTCCAAGGCTGTGTGCTGGCTGGGGGCCTTGGCCACGTCATCGGTCTCTGTTAGCCTCATGTCCTCCTCTGTAACACTGGATGCTTGGTACCTACTGCCTGGGTACCTGGGCACCTGCAGGTCCAGCCACACTAGGGTGTGCGGAGACTAGGAAGGATGTACTTGTCATGGGCTTACATGGTGCCTAGTGTCACTTGATGTCACTCAAATGTCAGCTGCCCGGGTGTGTGTTCCTAAAGAGGTGGTGCAAAGGGGACGCGGGCCTTATCCATGGAGTTGAACTCCTTTAAAATGCAGGGGTATGGCTTTGCCAGCACCAAGCAGGGAACTGGCAGGCCTCCTGACTCCAGAGCCTGTGGCCACCCCAGGCTACCAGCCCCTGCCTGGGTAGCAACGTAGTCCCCCGGGGTCTCAACGAAGGGGCTGCCCGGGCCGAGTCCTCACCTCGATCTGGCCTATCGTCTCCTGGTACTCCTTGTCTCTCGTCTTGAAGAAGGATTCCGTCTCATGGATCAAGTTGCCCAAGTTTTCCTCTTGCTGGGGAAACAGATCAAAGGGGTGCATTTAGCTGGGGTGGGAGCGGGGGAAGGAGGGCTGCAGGGAAAGAATGGGGAGGAGGGATGATTGAAAGGAGGTGCCCCCGGCCCCCACCTCCCGGCCCCCGGGAAGCCCGGCCCCACGCACCTCGCCCTGCAGGTCGATGCTCGGGTTGCAGTTGGTGAAGTCCTCCCAGAGCAGCAGAGTGTCTTCGTTCTCCTCCCACGTCAGGCTGTCACAGTCGTCATCGAAGTCAAAGGTCTCCCGCCTGGGGGGTGACAAGGAGGGCGGGACTGAGCGGGAGCCAGGCTCCGGGGGCCAGGACGGGACAGACAGGGTGCTGCCCGGGTGTGTGTTCCTAAAGAGGTGGTGCAAAGGGGACGCGGGCCTTATCCATGGAGTTGAACTCCTTTAAAATGCAGGATGTTCTGACACACTCTTTCTACCCTTTAAAGTGTGGGTTTTTAAGGGGCCAGACTTTTACCATCAACGGAGACTAAAGGCAATTTCCTCCCAAGTCCAATCTTGTACGTTTTTCATTCACAGACTGGCTTCTGGGCGCTTAGTAAAACGCCATTTGTTCTATCCTCGCACCCATCCCATGAGACAAGCTTGATTATTATTCCCACTTTACAGGTGAGAAAACTGAGGCTCAGAGGGATCGGGTAGGCTTCCGGAACAATACGAGCTGAAAGTCACTTTTGAATTCACAGCCTGGGTGACTCCAGGGCTCCCCTATTCACTAGGGCTGGAAGAAGGGGGCCGGACCATACGGGATTGCCTGGGACTGGAGATGCATGGTTACCCCACCTGGAGGAGACCTTAAGAACCACTCAGCCCCAATCTACAATAGCTAGAATTTGGAAACAGCCTAGGTGCCCGTCAGCAGATGATTGGATCAAAAAACTATGGTACATCTACACAATGCTGCCATAAAAAAGAAGAAATTCTCATCATTTGCAGCAACCTGGATAGAATTAGAGATCATCATGCTGAGTGAAATAAGCCAGTCAATGAAAGAAAAATACCACATGACCTCACTCATTTTTGGATAATAAAGAACATTATAAACTGATGAACCAAAAGACAGATATAAAGACAGTAAAGCAACAAGCAGACTGTCAAATTACAGCTGGGAGGGTAGGGAGATCTGGGGGAGATAAGAGATCAACCAAAGGACTTGTATACATGCATATAAGTACAACCAATGGACACAAAACTCTGGGCAGGGAAGGTATATATTGGGGGGGGGGCAATGTTAAAATATGTACACAGATAATAATTTAATAAAAAAAATAAATAAATAATAAATATAAATAAATAAATAAATAAATAAGTTTTAAAAAGAACCACTCAACCCAATATGCCCACTAATCAGGTGAGAAGGCTGAGGTCAACAGGGGTAAACCACTGGACCCAGTGAATTCGCCAAGAAGGAAGTGGGTCCCAAGTCTCCAGGGCTCTCCCCACTGCTACACTCCCTCCCTCAACTCCTTCCTGGATTTGCCCAACCTTCCAAAAATAGTCCAGGCTGGAGCCACTGGGCAGGGCTCAAGAAAAAAGAATTTCTGGTAAAAAGCTGCCCAGAGAACCCCCTGGAGCCAGCCTCCTCTTCAAAATGCAGTTCCTGTCGGAGCCTATAGGGGGCTCTGTGAGTCCAGGGAGCAGAGCTGAGGACCTGGCTGCAGGGGGAGGAGCCACGGGCTGGACTAGCTTCAGACAAGCCTCTGGGGTCCACTATCAGCGCATCACATACTCAACTGCTGACTTCATTTCCTTCCAGGGTCTGGGAGCTGAAGGAAACCCCAGCCGAGGAATAAGGAAGCCATCAAAGACCGGAAGACCGGACCAGAGACAGGGCTGGGAAGAGGCGACCCCCCTCCCTGCAGACCTGAAAGGCGGGGCTGAGGAGGAGGGCTGGCCACCACCCAGAAAAAGTAGCCAATTCCTCCCCTTCTCATTGGTCTGAAGCCCAAGCAACAGATTTTGATCAAAACAAAACAGCAGGGACACGGGTGCATTATTCAAAGACTTGAGTGGAACTGGCCCAGGGCAGTCTCTGGCTTGAATCTCAGCAAGCGGAGATGGAGGGGCGGGGGCTAGGGCTCCACTTAGGGTGGAGTCAGCAGGGCCTTGGGTGGTTGGAGGCTTTGTTTAAAACTTAGGGACTTCACCACCCTATCAGTCTAATTTTGTGCACACAGGAGCCGGGCCAAGGGCGCTCCTGACCAGCTCTTGGGACTGTCCCTCTCAGCTCACCCATTCCTAAGCAGCTTACTGCTTCCCTGATGACTTTATGAAAATGAAGGCAATGACTTCTTCAGAGAAGCCATTTAATTCAACAAATGGACACAGTCTGGGTCTGTGCGGGCCATACAATTCTGCCTGAGGCGCAGGAATGCCCAGAGCAATGTTTGGAAAACCTAGACCCAACCAAGGGTTACCCCCAATCCCCTCTTGTCAGCAAAAGATGAGAACAGGAGATCTGAGAGCGGGGATGTCAAAGAGGAAGCAAGCGCCTGGGAGTCTCCTTGTCACCTTCCAACAGCGATCCCCAAAACGCAGCCCGTCTTGGGAAGCAAACCCACCCTGCTGTCCCCACAGTCTTCCTTGCCAAGTAGCTGGGCTCGGCTGCAAAGGCACCAGGGCAGGGATGGTGCCCGGAGAGCAGAGGGACAGCTCTTCCAGGCATGAGGACAGCTGGCTGGGGACAGCTGAGGACAGCTGGCCCGGCTCCACCCCATCTCCCCCATCCCTCTCTGGGCCTCAGTTTCCCCCTTTGAACAGGAAGGGGCTGGGCAGAGTGATCTTTACAGGAAGCATTAGGAGAGTCCCGCGCCCTCTCAGGAGGGGTTCTGGGGGGTTTGTGATGGCAAACCTAGGCCTGCTGTTGGAGACAGGAGACCTCATGGGAGAGGCAGTGGTCAGAAAGCTTGCTCAGCGCTGAGACTGATGCAGGGAGGTGTGAGGGAGAGGGGGAGGGGTGGGGTTCTGGGGGAAAGTTGAGTTCTCAGGGCTCAGGAGCCCAAATGCAGGGGACGGCAGAGAGGCAGGAGCAGGTCACTGGGACAGGGGAAAGGTGACCCCAGAGACCAGCCCCAGCCCTGCCCTTTGACGCCAGGCCCTTAAACAAGTCAGGCAATGCCCAAAGGGATGCCTCTCCCCTCCCCTTCCCTTCCCTACCCTACCTTAGGGTGCTATATGGACAGGCCACAGCCACAAAGCATCCCTGCCCCAGATCACTCTACACAGTGAGCTTTGGATAAAACAGTTTTGCTGGCGGGGGATTGGAGGGTGGAGGGCAGAAGTCAGCCTTGCTTGGTAGCATTTGCCGATTTTCCACGCTGGCAAATGTTAAGCTACTATTGTGCCATCACTGAACCTGGAGCAGGCAGACGTGAACAATCAGCTTTCATGAGCTGGTACAAGCCGGTTCCATCCCACCACTGGCCATATCCAACCTGCAGTCTGCCACTAACCCAGGCAGCGTCTCAGAGGGAGAGGACACAGGCAGACGGGCCTGGGTCCCATCCCAGCTCGGCCATGTATCGGCGGAGTAGTCTCCACCAGGGCACTTCCCTGAGCCTCAGTCTCCTCGTCTACAAAAGGGGAGTGGTAACCCCACTTCCTGGGCGGACAGTGTGGAGTCGATGAAGTCACGTTTGTAAAGCATCCTACAGCGTGGTGGCCGGCGTGTGGCTCGGCTCAGCCATCCCACCATAAGGAAGACCAGTCGGAGTGAGTCTGAGGCTTGGCCAAGACTCCCACGCAAACACTGGTCCTTTCTGAGGATGGGGATCTTCCCAAAGTACAAAGGTTAAACATGAATGCAAATGTGCTCAGGATGCAGGCCCAACAGAACACACCTGGGGGCTGCCTTCAACCCAGGCCGCCAGTTTGCCACCCCGGCCCCCGTGACCTGGGGGAGCAGAGAGGAGCCCCGGTACTCACAGCTGGTTAAACATGCGCTTCATCTCGTCTGTGATGTTCACGGAGCTGACCTCCTCATCGGAGAACCGGTTCACCTCCCCGTCCTGCTCCGAGATGTCCTCGTCCGAAGCCACCTTACGCTCTTTCTTTTTGGGGACCACCTGACCCGGGAAGGAAGAGACGGAGGTGACTGGGAGGCTCGGCAGGGAGGGAGGGCCAGGGTAGGGCCGGGGAGGGAGCCAGCATCTCACGGGATGGATGGAGCGTGGCTGGGGCCAGCTGCTGCCAGCAGAGATGCAGGGTCCTCTAAGAAGCAGGCGAGTTAGCAGGAAGCATGAGGCGGGGAGACATGCATGCGGGAGGGAGGACACAGAGAGCCTGGACCCCGGCCGGCTCAGCGCACCCCTTCACCAGAAACGTCACCGCCAGATCCGGGGAGGGGAGCGAGCTAGACTGGGGTACAGAATCCCCCTGGGATGTCTCAGAGGCGGCCAGGGGGCCGGAGGAGCCCCGACGGAGGAGGCCCAGATGGCTCCCGGCTGCCCAGAGCCCTCCTGCTCACATGCAAAGGCAGCGGGCGGCGGCAGCGGGCGGCGGCCCCAGGCCACCAAGCTCCCTCCACTCCCAGCAGACAAGACGTGAGCTGACCACACCACGGCCGACATGGTGCCCCCTGTTTCCCTGCAGAGGGGCAGCGAGGAGGCCCGGAGTGGGAAAGGGGGCCCAGGGACGCCCAGGTCTCACCCAGCTACATCCCAAGTCACACACTGAAAGCAACAAGACCCTGCCCTGGGCTAGCAGAAGCCCAGCCACGACCCAGATTCCAGAAGCACCTTCGGGGAAGGACGCGCCCTTCAGGCAGCGGGACCGGCCAGCCCCGGCCAGCGGCCGTGACCCCATCGTCTCTTCTCGGGACACACACTTGCTCACAGAGGGGGGAATGGGGAGGGGGGAGAACGAGCGCCTTTTCAGTGGGAATGACAACCATACAGTGTGGGTGGGTGGACGAAGCCCTGCAGGGTCAGGGGACCCGAGTTCCAGTCCCAGCTCTGCCATTTCCGTCCTTGAGCCCCATCCTGTCACTCCCGGGGGAGAGGTCTCCTCAGCCACAGGGTGAAGCTGCCAGCCTGAGCCTAGAGTCCCTGAGTCTACGCTCTCCTGGGGAGGCCACGACGCCTCGGGGGTGGGGGTGGGGTGGATGTGAGGGGAGCAGGGGTTGAGGCTGGGGCTCCTCGGGAGGGTGGCGGTGGCGGGTGGAGATGGCGGTGGTGAGCGGGGCGGCCCTAGTCACCTGGAAGATCTTGGACACGTCTTCCGAGTTCCGCTGCTGTGCGACATCGCACAGCTTGGCCGTGATATCGATTCGGCGGCAGATGTCCATGTCCACCTTCATGGCCTTTTCTTGGATCTTTGTGTCCAGGTCTGTCATGGGCTGCAGGGAGGACAGCAGGGGTTACGTGAGCGAGGGATGGAGCAGGCATGGCGTGGGGCGCCGCTCCCAGGCCCCTGCTGGACAGAGAGGGGTGGAGGGCCCTAGGTGTTGGTGGGAGGCCCCGGAGTCCGAGGCTGGCCTTGAGGGGCCTGAAGGGCTGGGTCAGCGCTGCTTGGGCTGGGGCCGTGGGAGCTAACGGCTCTGGCGCCGAGGGGACAATGTGAGGCCGCATTGGCGGCTCCCTGAGGGCTGGACGACACCTCTCTGCAGACAGTGTCACTGTGTGTTCTGTGTGAGCAAAGACGACACAAAGGCAATCCACGCTGAAAGACTCCTTTCTCCCCACCCAGCCTGCCCCCCCTGTCTCCATGGGGGTGCCTGCCAAGGCGGCTCTCTCTTCAGGATTTCTCCCAGTCTGACAGCGGGGTTTGCCCAGGACAGGGGTCCCCCAGGACCCCGGAGAGGGGAGCCACGTGGCCCCCACCTGGAGCTCCGGGAGGCTTCTCCCAGCCACACCCGGCTTCACGCCCCTCGGGACCAGAGGCCGCCCCTGGACGAGTCACCCAGAAACGGGCACCTTCTGCTGGCGGCTCTCCCTGCACCCCGCCCGCTGGCGCAGGTGGCAGGAGCCCCGGGTCCCGGCAGGGAGGCGGCCGCTCAGAGGGCTCTGACTGGCAAAAGGAAGCACACACTCGCCTTCCCCGACCGTACAGAGCAGCCCTGCGGAAGGCTGCCGGCCTGGGAGCCTCTCGGGACGGCACGGCCAGGGCCTCCCTCGACCTGTGCCCGGACACCGAGGCCCACGGCCTCCGCCCGCCACGTCCTGGCGAGCTGGGGCAGAGTCGGAGCCAAAACACACACAGACCGTCCCAGGAGCCCGAGAGGCGGGATGGGTTAAGCGGCAGATTAATGCATCTCTATCAGACCGAGGGAAGCGGAGGAGGGCGGGCGGGAGGGGCGCCTGGTCTCGGATGCATCGGTCATCCTCGCAGTCCATCGCGCAGCCAGGACGCTAACTAGAAGCCGAGCTCGGAGCCTCGGAGTGGATGAAGCGTTCTGCATGACGGGGGAGGGGAGGTGACGGCACCTGGGCGGCGGCCAGGGCACTTACGTCGCTCATGAGCCCCTTGAACACCACCAGCTCGGCCTTCAGCCGCTCGATCGTCTCGTTCATCTCCTCCTGGATGGCTTCGGCCTCCTGCGCCGCCTGCGGAGGCAGAGATGGGAAGGTTTAGGGGGGCCGGGCACCCTGAGGGCAGGAGGGACTGGACACTGGGGCCCAGCCAGGCCAGGGTGCCTGATGGCTGGGGAGGGGGCACCAAGGACCTCGGCCCAGCCTGACTTCCAGCACTCAGCTTAAAACACTTCTCTTAAAAAATATACATATACATATATACATATATATATTTGATTTTTTACAGAGAGGAAGGGAGAGGGATAGAGAGATAGAAACATCCATCAGCTGCCTCCTGCACCCCTACCCCTCCCCCCACTGGGGATGTGCCCGCAACCAAGGTACATGCCCTTGACCGGAATCAAACCTGGGACCCTTGAGTCCGAAGGCCAACAAAACTCTATCCACTGAGCCAAACCAGTTTCGACTAAAACACTTCTCAAAGGGATATTACTGCATGGAGACCCGTGGCAGACAGTCAGAGGAAGTAATGCAGTAAGTGGTCCCACAGGTAAAGCTATCAGGTCCATTCATGGGGCATCGCCCATATTTGACCACTCGGGTCTCCAAAATGGCAAGTGCCAGCCTAATGGAACATTCACACCTGGAGTGCGTGAGTGCATGGGAACGACCAGAAGGTGGCACACCAACGTGCCACGGGGAGGGGCAGGGCTGGAGGCGGCTTTATTCTCTTCGCTAAGCTTTTCCCAGCCTTCCAAATACTTGAGCGTGAGCATGTTATGTTTGGGAAGCAAAAAGCACTTTTGTTATCAAAGTGGGGGACGTCCATCCTCTCACGTCGAAGGACTGATATAATTTTAACCTGTCTCTAACTTGCTTAGAAGATACATTTTTTAAGTATCAGAAAGCAATTTTTAAAAATATTTGAGCCCAAACCGGTTTGGCTCAGTGGATAGAGCGTCAGTCTGCGGACTGAGGGGTCCCGGTTCAATTCCAGTCAAGGGCATGTGCATTGGTTGTGGGCACATCCTCAGGGGGTGTGTGTAGGAGGCAGCTGGCCTATGTTTCTCTCTCATCGATGTTTCTAACTATATCCCTCTCCCTTCCTCTCTGTAAAAAAATCAATGAAATATATTTTTTTTTAAAATAAAAATATCTGAAAGAGCTTTCCACGCCTTCTCATGGGGTCACTATGCTTGTACCCATTTGGCTGAGGGGAAAAGAGAGGCAGGAAGGTGAAGGTGCATAGGGTACCCGGCAGGCGGCTGAGTGCAGGGCCCAGAACACAGAGCTACTGAGCCAAAATGGCGAGGAAGGCCCTCACACCGCCCCGGAGAGCCCACTTGGGCTGGGTGCCCACCTGGTGACCTGCCCACTGTCCTCCCCAAGGCATTGGGCCCCAAGTCAGTTCCCGCAAGCTGGGGGGTGGAGGGGCTTAAGCACCATCCGGGTGGGGAGAAGAGGCAGGAGAGGGGAGTCACTCGCCCAAGGTCACCCCACCAGCTGGGGCGGCACCAGGACTCGGGCCCAGGCTTCCCCACGCCTGTACCTGAACTTCGCTGCCACACTGCCATCCCCGCCTCGCTCCAAAGCAGGGGACAGAAGAGGCCCCTTGGCCCCATCAAGGAGAGACTGAGGCAGCAGGAAATGACCGAATAGGGGCTGTGCAGGGAACTGCCCCCGGCTTTCCCCCCTGATGACAATGCCCCCTGAGGACTGAGGACTGCACCTCTTCTGATCAGGACCGCTGGGGGCTCTTACCTCCTTCAGCGTGTCCACCACGGTCTGCAGGTTCATGCTCTTGGCCAGCTCCTCCTCCCATCTGTAAGAGCCAAGAAGGACAGGCGGTCAGAGGGAGCCTCCCATGCCCGTCCGGCCTCACACCGTGCAGGCAGCCGCCCTGGGCCTGTCCCTGGCACAGCAGTGACTCCACCCCCGCCTGCCCTCCGGGAGCTCCCGGCTAGGGGATGGGGGTGGGGCAGAGACAGCCAGGTTGACACAGGCCATGTTACCCGGTGGTGCTGACGAATGTCATGCTTCAGGCATGAGCACAGCACCACAGGAGAGGAAGGCAAACTGTAAAGTGCTGTGCAAACACTGTTATTCCTGCTGTGGCTGCAAGACGCAGTATCGAGGCTGGCACGCAGGAGCCAGGCTGCTCTCTGCACTTTCATTGTGCTAACTATCTCCATCTTATAGTCTGTGGTCCCGTAGCCTACCCTCACCAACAAAGACATCTCTGTACCGGCCAGAGGAGGACGGGAGGCTCAGGGAAGTCAAATGTCCTGCCCAACGACACACAGCTAGGGCTGGACTTCAAACCCAAGTCTGTTTTATTACAGAAAACAAAAGATAACCAACACGCTGCTCACTTCTCTAGCGCTTATTTCACGCCAGGCCCTGTTCCTGGCTTTACATGTACCACGCGGGTCGAAGCTGGACAGGAAATGACAGGAGCAGGCACAGTGGGCTAACGGCGCACCCCAGCAATCCCTGGAGGCCGGATGAGACGATACCAATACAATCGCTGTGACAACACCAGCTCGCCTTCACTCAGGGCTTACTATGTATGAGGCTCCCGTCTCCATGACATAATTCAATCGTCATAACAGCCTCCATTATCCCCACGTTACTGGTGCAGAGAGGCAGGCACCCAGGCAGGTGCCCAAGGTCAAGGTGCAGACAGGTGGAGCCAGGACTCAAACCCTGGGCTCGAGGCCCCAGATGGAGTGCTTGTAACCCTGCCAGGCTTCTCCAGGACCCAGAAACAATCAAAAGCCTGCCCCGGCTCCCCACCCAGACCGCCTCCCTCCCCAGAGGAGGCCGGGGCCAGGATTCCCTGCCCTCTCCATCCTGGGACAGACAGACAGCTCCTCTCTTTCCCGGCCCCACTGCCGCCTCCCTACATGGCCTCTGAGCAGGCAGACCTGGAAGCCTTTCGGATGCTGCTGGGGCGGCTAAAAATAGGCCAGGGGGAGGGATGGACGGAGGGTTACATCACCAGCTTTTGGAAATAAGAGAAAACGGATACTGTTTGCACACACAGAGGAAAATTCCTCCTTTCTCCCACACGAGACGAGGCGGGCCTGGCTAGGGCTCCCGGAGGGACAGACACACACACAAATACGCACACACACACCCTCTCCCATGTTCTCTTGGATCCTTATCAGCCCCTGACATTGGCAGCGAGGCCTCGATCTGCCAAGGGCCACCGGCTCCAGAACCTGGAGGGCAGCGGGGCTGGGGCGGGGCTTCTCCCAGGGATGGAGGACCCAGAGGAAGCCAAGGGGCAGAGAGGCAACCTAAGGGTCTGACCCAGGCGGGACATTCTCACTGAACACCCTCGTTGTACAAGCAGGGAAACCGAGGCCCACCATGTGCCAGGAATTTGCAAGGTCATCCAGTGTGCCAAGGGCCAGGCCAGGAGTTCACCCCTAGGCCCGATGTGGGGGACAGAAGCCCCCGGTGGGGAGAAGCCCACACTCCGCCCTCGCCCCGCGCAGCAGCATGGGGCATCCAGGGCTTCCCACAGGAGAAGCCAAGGCCCAGAGGGCAGGTCCCCTGCTGAATCATCCCTCCTGGCCATGCAGCTCTGAGCGGGGGCAGAGAGCCTGACTCCGAAGCCACTGCCCAGAGCAGGTGCCAGCGCCCGGCCTCACAGCTGCATCTTACAGCGACAGCTGGGGCAGCAGAGAAGGGGGCAGCGAAGGGTGGAGATGCAGGCGCCAGAGACATCTTCCGCCCTACACACACCCCCATTCCCCAAGCTCCTGGGCAGGGCGCCAGCCCCCTCCCACCTTTCCTTTCAGCAACCTTCTCCTGAGGAAGGTGGGGCAGGAGTCAGCAGACCCATTGTACAGATGGGAAAAATGAGGCCCAGAGAAGGAGAACCACTGGCCCCAAGTCCACCCAGACCCAAGAACCCAAGCCACGTTAGCAGCCACAGATTGGTGAGCACATCTGGGTACCACGCATGCCCTGGGCTCAGTGCCTCCTACACATAATCTCATCACCTTTCATGCGAACTATTCACCCTCTAGGGCACATGTGTCAAACACAAGGCCCACGGGCCAAATCGGTCCCGCCAGGCCTTGCAATGTGGCCCGCACCACGCTGTCATCACTGCACTCTGCTGCGTTTTCATCACAATGACAGTTTATGACTGTTCAGTAAACCATTCGGCCCGTGATTTAGGCTGGATTTTAGATTTTGGCCCCTTCTCTGATTGAGTTCGACACCCCTACTCTAGGGCAAAGGATGTCCCGCCAAACCCATTTTGCAGATGAGAGAGCTGAGGTTCAGAGAGGTGAGGTCCCTTGTCTAAGGTCACACAGCTTTCAGCAGGGCTGGGACTGAGGCCGAGGCCATGCTCACACGGTGACAAGCATGGGCACCACACACGGGCTCAGGTGCAGGCCGGGTTCAGCAGGGCCGGGGTGGGGCGGACACGCTGCGTTTCCAGTGAGCTCCCCTGCAGACGGCACGTGGAGTGGCCCCACTCCTCGCCAGCCATTCTGAGCTGCACCCCAGCAGATGCTCTTGCATGAGCCTTTTGTTTCCAAAGCCAGGCTGCGTGGGCAGCCGGCACTCCTGGTCCCAGAAGACCGAGCACGGACCCCAGCGTGTAGATAGCAGCTGGCCTGGCAGCCCGGATCCTCTGCCCACGCTGACGGGCCTCCGGCTGCGGCGGGGAAACCTGGCTGTGCGGCCGGCCCCCGTGTTGACGGTGCAGAAAAGCTTTGCCCTTCAGCTGCTCCGGCTGACGGGGCGAAAGGATGACGACAGGTGATGTGCTTCTTAAGATGCCCCAGACACCCCACCCTCACTCACTGCGTGCAGCCCGGGAGGAGGGAGCACCCGCTTCCCCGAGAACCGGTCTGCCAAGCTGTGGGCTATGGAACTTCAACACCTGCTTGCCAGGCACAGTCTGGCCTCCTCCCCATCCTGCATCAGCCCAGAGGAGTCAGGTTCCGGTAGGACCGTGTTTCAGGCAGAGGGACCAGCATCAGCAAAGAGGGGCAGCAGGAAGGCAGGGAGTAGCCGGTGGCCACTGAGAGGGGAACTATGGGTCACCGACTGGCGGATGACATGTCCTTTAACCTTCACTGTCCAATTCTCTTGCCTGACCCTCTGCTCAGCAAAGGTGGTCACAGGAAAAAAACACACACAGAGGAAAAAGAAAACCCATTTTACAGATGGGAAAATGAAGGCCCACAGCCCAGGTGACAACTCACGCCAGGGCCAAGATGGCCTGAGTCACTGAGAGCCACCCTGCCCACCCCACCCCCCAGCTCCTAAAATTTCCAAATTCTTCTCTCTTCAAGTGTTAAACTAAAGCAGTGGTGGGCAAACTCATTAATCAATAGAGCCAAATATCAACAGGACAACGATGGAAATTTCTTTGGAGAGCCAAATTTTTTAAACTTAAACGTCTTCTAACGCCACGTCTTCAACACAGACTCGCCCAGGCCGTGGTATTTTGTGGAAGAGCCACACTCAAGGGGCCAAAGAGCCGCATGTGGCTTTCGAGCCGCAGTTTGCCGACCACAGGACTAGAGAAAGGAGAGGAGGGACACTTACTGGGCAGCCCCTGGGTTGTGTTCACCATGTTAGACAGTCATAGACTCATAAAATGCAACATGTCCCCGGTCACTAGATGAGCTGGGTCCAAAGCTGAGGGTCCAGCCCCTCCACCAGCCTAGAGAACTGCTTGTCGTTACTACTCCTATGCTCGCTGCTCTAGTCCCTGCGTCTACAGCTCATCTGCACTGGGTAAGGGTCAAGGAATTGCTGTATAAGTTTGTGAATGAATGAATGAATGAATGAACAAATGAATCCTAACAGCAACCCTCCAGCTCCGCCCTTTCCCAGTGAGGGTCCCTTCTGCCTGGAAGGATGACTCCTCTCTGCCCCCTGCTAGCCTGGGGGGGGGGGGTTCCCGGAGCTGCGTTCCCAGCACCAGCCCTTCCCCCAGCTCTGTCCGCTCGGCTGGCTCCGGAGCCTCTCCAGGGAGAGACCAGGCCAGCCGGGGGAGAGAGCCAGGGCAGGAAGCAGGCGAGGGAAGAAAGCCTCCCTCTCCCACTTCCCACGGCCCTCCGGCCGGGGAGGGGGCGCAGGGCCATCGGACAATGAGGCCGGGAGAGGAAATGACTCCATACTGCGCTGAGTCCGGGGCCCGGGCCACCATCTCCGCAGAAGGAGCACACGTGTGAGGCCGGTGGCCTGGAGGGGGAGGGGCAGTGCCCGCCCAGCCAGATGTGGTCTCCAGACATTCCTGCGGAGCCTCCGCTGTGCCCACGTGACGGACCAGAAGTCTCAGCCAGCCCCTGGGGGGAGGGGATGGGCAGCTTCAAAGCCAGTCCCCACCCCCAGCCAACACTGGGACCAGCGTGCTGTGCCGCCTCCCCCTCCATCCCGATGACACAGCCCACAGGAAAGGGGCTGACAAAGCCCGGCTTACTGAGGGGAGGGGAGCCCAGCTAAGTCACTGCAGGGACTGACTCACAGACTTTTCACTTCCTCTGTGATCAGAAAGAGGCTCCGGGGCTCCAGCGCGAAGGAAAGTGGGGGCAGCCCCAGCAAAAGGAGGCCTCGGGGCTTCTGGGGAGAAAGTCCTGGGGACTCCTGGCCAGCAAGGCCCTGGGTTCATCTCCTGCCCCTCCTAACCACTCCCGGCTGTGTGAGCTCAGGCCAGTAAGACCTCCCCCCCGCCCCGGCTCTGAGCCTCAGTCTCCCCATCTGGGAGAGGGGAGCACACCACCACTCCTGAGGGTGATGTGAGAAGCCCATGAGGTGGGCCGTGCGGGTGCAAACACCAGCCCA